ATCAAGCAATGTTATGTGAGCAAAATCTAATAATTTAAAAAGCTTCTTCATTTGTTGTGACATCTATTTTAGGAATATTTTAATTTGAACTAATGGTCGTGCTTCAGGAAAATAACTTTATACACGTTGCTGCACTTGCAAACTGTTTCTGCCTAGAAAACATTTATTGAGATGAACAAAACATATACATAATTTCTGTGCAAATTACAATCAGATATTGTACTGTATTTATATATAACTTACCAAGTTTTTGAGAGAAAGTTCGGATAATTCGACTGGCGCTGGAAATCACCGTAACGTGACTACAAACAGAAACATTGAATTAGCTACCTAGCTGGGCCGGACAAATAGAAGAGTCTATACAAGTATCTATGGGGCGAAACAATTAGACAGAGAGAAAATATTACATTCATAATGAGTTAACTGGTTCTCCAACAATATGGAAATTATTTAGCAATGTATAAGTAGTAATTAACAGTAGCACTGTATTTAGTAATTAATAATATTTATTTGGTCTACGTCATGACTTTTTTCAGACAAGTTTGTTCCTTGAAGGAACTTAATTTAAATAAATAAAATCTAATTATTATCCTGCTTATCGTAATTGAATTCGAATTTGAAATTCATAAGAAAGTCACTTAAACTTTCGACAGGCAATTTGGCTTATTTTAATTGGGGTAGTTTTGCTGCAAGGAATCTATTGAACCGACGCAGTGATCGAACCGCGGACAACTGACCAGATATTCGACCAGAAAACTCGGATAGAACATGACTGCTAGATTATTATTGTATTGTGATATTCGCCATGAATTATTTGTATGACAGTGCTGGGCCAAAGCAAAAAGCAACATATATGTAAGCAGGATCTGTTCAATTTTATGACGCTTTTCCAAATTCCGTCATTTTTTTCGCAGTAGGAATTGAATTTATTGCGAAGAAATCGTTTACCTCGTCCGCAGTTATTTTACACCCTATACTTGGAATAGTTTAGTCATGAAATGGATTCATGATTATTCTTTCGGTAGAATTCGATTAAATTTAATTTTAACAACATTATCGTATACGAGAAAAAAGTTTGCGGTGACATTTTTTTTTTGTTCAATTATACAGAATTCGCTGGGGTTGCGTGACGCGGTTCCTTTCATGGCAGAGACGCCAAAGAGAGCAGCCAGTTAATCTTGTTAAACGTCAACTCATTCAGTCCACCCTTATTAGTCAAAGACAACATGTCTAATTTTAACACACAGTATAGTAACCACTCATTTTCTATATGGTCAACTCAGAGGTAATTATGTCTACCAATTTAGCTAAGGCAACACGCAGGAAATGAAAGACCATTTTACTCGAGACCAATATGGTGGTGCCACTACAACTATCAAATACCAACCGTTAATTATTTTCATGGAACTGGCCTTATGTAGACGCGTTCTTGTCCCGGTGGAAACCAGGGCTTTTAATCGCAAGGGCAAGAGCATGTTAAGTAGTAGCAGTTAGCAACAATACATTTTAAGTAATAGCGGTTAGCAACTATACTTAACTTGATGAGATACCATGCGGAGAGGTGCAACGTATAGTCCGTAAAACCAAACACTCGAAGGTAAATAAACGTGTTTGTGCAAACCACTCTTGTTGATCGTTGTAATTAATCTCAATGCTCTTCGTGTTATTTAGGATTTTCTTGCGAACAAATAATCAATATGCAATTGTAGCCAAAAGTCCAGACGCTATCCATCGCAAAGTCCGTTTAGAAAAGATCTGGTCAAAAGGCCAGTATTTAGATCTCCTGTGAACGAGTCACAAAAATTACATGAATCGACAACAAGGCGCAATTACATGAATCGACATGAAAATTACATGAATCGACGACATAACAACTAGGCGCAAATGAAAGATAAAACGAGCAGAGAATTAAATAAAGTGTAGATGATCGAAACCAATAACTTTCAATTATAACTTATAAAAAAAAATGGAAGGAAAAACCCATATCTTGCGTATAAAGGGTACTGACAACTCCGTTTCTTTCATCAGTCAGCGCTGACCTTCATTATTAGTATTGTAATGCAGGAAACTGCATGAATATTCCAGTGCTATCGATAAAAGATAATAAACATGACAATAGAGTGAGATTAGTGATAAATTGATATTATAATATTATTATACAAATAATATAATAAATTGTGAGAATTTCATTATGCATACACATCGATCGCCCCCTTGTACGGTGCCTCACTGGGACGGTCGCTATGGAGACTTGGACATCGTCACGTTTCCACATATGTAGATTAATTAATTCTATACACCCTCATGAATAGGTAGTGCAGTTAGTATGTTGATGAATAATACTGACTTTAGAAAGATTACCGCCTTTCTGTTCAAAGTCATGGATATTCTCGAAACCTCAAATTATTATTCAACCTCAAACCTCAAATTATTAAACTTCAAATGGTTATTTTTGACCCAATGACCTAAGTAAAATTTTGAAAAAAGTATAAAAACCTAACCTTGCTGGACCAAACCTTAGTAGAAAGGTGTCATTATGGAAAAATTATTATTCCGTTATTTCTCATATTTATTATTTAACATTATTTCTCATTTATGGAAAAGTGCACTATTGTGCTCGCCTTGTCCGTCTGTCTGTCTGTCCGTCCGTCCGTGACCTCAAGTTTTCATCGACGAGAAAATGCGCTCTCTGTCACTCACTGCAGTGAGTACTGAGTTATATTTTTTAGAATGTCCGGTAGTGTAGTTCATTTATTTTCGTGTCCGGTATTTTTTAACGCATTTTTAAGTTTCGGCTGTGTCTGTCTTGAACGTATCAGCTACCAAATACGCGCGCCCACGATCGCCCCAAACTCGACAGGTATTTCAGCAGTTTCTGTTTTGGCGCTTATTTCGCTCTGGCAACAGGAAACCAAAGCTGACATAGAGCCGCTAATTTACACCGCTAGGCAAGCTTGGGGCATCCATGTGCCAGCGGCTGACAGGAATAAAAATTTCGATAGGGATGCTAACGGCTGAATTCCAAGAAATTCAGCACGTCTAACGTCCTGACAATCGTACGAAAATAGTTCAATGAATGATTAAGAATAATTTAAGGGGGAGGTATACTTTTTTTCGGATTTGGCTTTTCTGGTATTTAGTATCAACTTAAAGCGGAGATTCTGCCCTATCCAACGATACCACTGCGATCCCTGTACGTGAATTTATACGTGCATGACGGCTCTTTAAAGGGGGGCGGGTGGTGTAGTTCCTCCACTAATTAGATACAAGGTAATTAGCTGCTGAGCATTTTAAATATAGTGCCTGATTGAGTTGCGCTTTAGTTACTCGTTTAGTCTCATCTTAAAGCTGACATTCTGAGCTATCCAACGATACCACTGCGATCCCTGTACGTGAATTTATACGTACACGGCTGCTCTTTAAAGGGGGGCGAGAGGGGGAGTTCCTTCACTAATTAGATAGGAGGAAATTCGCTTGCCAACACTAGATATATGGTTTTTTCTGGCATCAAGGCACAGTCACCCTCCTCGCTTCGAACGGAAAGGTGTACTGCAAGTCGCTGCTACCACCCTTGAGTGGAAGGAAGCTACAGAAGCCTGTAGTTTGGTATCCATGTGTGACCGGAAACACCGCCGCGAAGTTGAAATAGTTATGAGGGGGGGGGGAAATGAAGAAAAAAATTGAAAATGCGTGTAAAAAACTAAGGCAAAAATAAAAAATCGGGCTTCATTACTCGATTGGTATGGTCTTTACGCATCGAATGATATGCGTCTCTATGTTGTAGCTCGAAAACCCTAGGAGGAGATAGATTTGAACAGTACCCCTTTTTTTGTCCGTTTTCTATGAGTATCACGTTTTCTATCAAATTTTCCGAAAAAATCACACGAACAAAATTTGATTCTTTTGCGGTTTTACATATATGTGTGAAGTTTCAGAAAGATCCGTCCGTAAACAAAAAGTTTTTCAAAAAGTATACCTAACCCAGCTTGGCTATTCAGATGCTGACCGCCATAGGCAATCGTTAGTAATTCAGGTAACTGTATCATAGGCGCATACTGCCGTATTTCAGGCTGTAATATTTATTGTTACTATTTATTACTGTCTGTGAACGTAATGTTCATGTAAATATTAGACTAGTAATTTCTCGTTTAGGTTTTTAGTCACCACTGACGTGACCTCGCGTAGGAATCTACTATACCTTATCATTCATTATGACGGAGGTACACAGAGGTACGTGGTTCTTTTAGTCGTGTTTATTTTTAGTGTTGAAAGTGCTCTCGTGTTCAAGTGAAGTTTTTATTAACGTTTCAGAGAATATTTGAAGTTATATTTATTCCTGTATCTTATTTCATCCGTGCTATATTTCTGCGTCCATTAGTTTATTTATTTAATTTTTCTAATATTGTGTTTTCGTTTTGTACGTGCAGAAAGGCTCCGAAATGAGGACTTGATTAGATCATTATTGAAAATAGTAAGTCGATCTAAAGAAAGCGCACGGTTTTTGTTATTTGCTTATTTCTTGGTATTGTATTCATTGATAGGTTGTTTTAATTATTATTTTTTTAGCTCATTTATTCAGTTTTATTCATCCTTCTGAATGACAATAGTTATTACAATACAATCATAAGTAAATATCTGGGGCCACTGACGGTTTTATTTCTATATCTTTTATTTACTGAATGAGCCCTGACAGTGGTTACAGTTCAGAGTGCCGTGATTGGCGCAGTGAGGCACGGGTTCGATCCCAGCTCTGTGCGCCAGTTTATGGTCACAATCGGCGAGGAGGCCGGGCGGTTAAGCACAGAAGAATAATTGTAGCAGTGAGTTGCGAGTTCGAGACCGCAACAAGCTGTGAATGTTCTGCGATGTTAAGAATCGGCGACAGGCCTGCGGCCAACTAAACGCTGAAAACGCTATTATTATTATTATTACTTATTATTATTACCTTCTCGTACTCGGCACATTGCGTGCTTTCATAGGAAAACCAAATAAGAAAAACATTGTGTATAAGAATTGTTTTATTGAAGAAACGAAGAAATCATGTATAGAATACAATAGAAATAATTCACGATAAACTGTTCATTGGGAGTGCTCTAATTATATATGAATGAGCTGAAGCGTTCGCTGCGAGCTCGCCAATGACAAAAAATATTTGTAACTTTCGTCTGTACACGTGTTTCCTATCTAACAATAGTTTAGTTTTCGCTGAAGTTTATGAATGGTAAGCTGCACTCTGTTGTGGTGATTGCCAAGCACCAACGGGGAAAGTGGAAAATAATCAAATAAGTGGCAGACCCCAAACGACCTATCCAAGGATGTCAATGCTGACTCAGGTACTTTTCCATCAATCTCTCCCACGTCTAGTGAATAATACGCCTCAATTACAGATTATCTAATCTTAGAGTATAATTATAATGAATAGAATGAGACGCCTGATGTCCGAAGTCAATCTGGCGAGTAGTAATTACTATCCCTGGCTTTTTGATCTCTATATACTGCATTACCTGTTTACCAATAATTACTTATAGTGTATCCCGGTGTTTTAATTTCACATTTTCACTAAATAAGATTGAACCTTGCCCATCAGGTCAATACTTTCTGGCTCTTGATATAACTTTGGAAAAGTGACAATAATTGCAGTTTCATGCATGGAAAAACAAGCACACGAAAGATGCAGTTTTACTTACTACCATTCACTTACAGCTTTGCGGTGAGTATAAAACTGATTATAAATGTACTCCCTCGACAGTCTGATGGAAAATTTGATGACTTATGTAGTTCACGAGTTCGAGTCGAATATATAAGCAATTAGTTATTCAGAAAAAAATAACCTAGGATCCGTACAAAGTTTTCGCAAGCCACTCGACGTGTTCAGGTACACCGAGAGGTACGGATATTTCGTGCGACTCATTAGTATCACGTGAAGAAGTGCCAGAAGTAACGATGGAGAAGAGCTCATATCGACCTGCAGAGTTCCTGGTTACTAATGGAGCTCCTGATGACCCCTGGAAAAATAAGATGAGCTTGAATATTTTTTCAAGACCAGAAAACGTCATAAACAGAGATTTCATATTTTCTAATTGCAAAGGCTTAGAGCCTTAGACTATAATTTATTTTGGAGAATGTTGTCATGCTTTTGTGAGTTTGCTTGAAGCCTGGATCTGTCAATATCAATAATTGTTCATTCGAGCGCGTATTGACAAGGCATGTATGCTATTAGAATAAAAGCAAATCTACATAGCATCGCGTGTTCCAGCTACTCTACTATAATACTATACTATATATACTTTATACTATATACTATATAATACATACTATAATAACACTATACCCAATGCAAGGTTGCCTCTTATTAAAGCACCCGTGCTTTGTTAAGCCAATTTTAAGAAAAGGTTCTAAATTTTCGGGATTTTTTTTTGCTCGCCAGTCGAGATCGCCAGCCATCAAAATAACATATGTATTCGAAAGCCTTTGGACGAAGAAGTGAAGAAACAACTGCAATAGTGTGAGAGAAGTTTACGGTGGCAATAAACTAAGGTGGAAATCTAAGGTTTCCACAAGACGAATAAAGAAGTCTGTATTTCGATTAAGTTATAAGGCAATGAGTGTTTTCGAAAATAATTAACTGGATTCCTCAAGCTAAAGAAAACTTTGATTTGACTAAAAAACGAAAAAGTTTGATGTTGTCCAGTGTATGATGCCTTTGACAAAAGATGACCAAGAAACTATAGAAAAAATATCTATATTGGATGAATGAATTCTCATCTATTGTTAGTGAGTCTTTTAATTGGAAACAAGCCGTTTAACCAAGTTTTTCTGAAGAAATCATTGCAATTTGAAAATCCCGATTCCTTATATTCCAAATTCTATCATTCTGCATCCCAAAATCCGTCATCCAGTTTCTCGTCATCACGAATCTCTTCATCCCGAGCCGCGTCATCAAATAAATCGTTTCATAACTATAATGTGCTCAAATTGTCTCCATATATGTCCAGCAACGAGCTGCAAACCAACCAACTCGCAAACCAATAGACGTTAACAAATACATATAAGATATATTGTTATAAATTGGTTATAAATACAATAATTTGAATGATACTGCAAACAGTACTCCAGTTAGTGCATGAATATTTCCAGGCAAATAGCAACCCTATGTATACCAAAATGCCTACAGCAGAACGATGTCAGGTATTTTACATATATTTTGTTAAAATTTGTTTGTATGTGGGTCTGTTTGTATATGTGGGCCTGTGTGTGTATGTGGGTCTGTTTGTATATGTGGGCCTGTGTGTGTGCATGTGGGTCTGTGAGAGTATGTGGGTCTGTGTGTGTATGTGGGTCTGTGTGTGTTTGAAGTTAGGAACCTCGTAAATGCAGGGTCTGCTTGGGCGCGGATCCAAATACTAACTGTTTCGAGATATTGTGGGAGCCTGAAATTTTATTCTTATTACGAGAATAGGAAAAGGTTGAGGGAAAATATGAAGATTGGATGAGAAATCGAAATTCGGTCTGCAATTGCAATTTAAATTTAATTTCAAAGATTCGAAAAAGTTTCATGTGTACTTTGAAATGTGGGTTTGAAGTGGTCTTTACTTGATTATATTACTTGAAGTTTATTATTATGAGATTAGGGACAACGGCCATGACCGGATTAGAGATTGCAGGATTCCAAAATTGCAGGAATTATGAAGACCGAGCAATTTAGGTCTAACCTGCTACTAACGAAATTTAAGATAATACCTTATCAGCAAGTTCTCGGGTTCAAAGTCTATTAGTTAGTATCGAAAATTTTTAAAGAAATAGCCTTGTTTCTTTGTGCACAATGACAGTACTTATGATTCAACAGTAAACAATATAAAGATTCAAAAGGAGACTTTGGGTGTGGTGAAATTTATCGGTCAAATTTATTCAAATCCAAATTTTGTATGAACTGATTTACAGGCAATTATCACAAGAGCACGATATTAGGTTCACTCACGAGCACATACAAATACCTGATAGAATTTTATTACACAACTCATGCGTAAAAAGCTACTAGAATAGAATTACACAGCAGATTCACAGCTCATGCGTAAAATTATCGGGCAGTGAAGTAACGTTGTAGAATTTTCCCAAAATCTACTAAAATTCAGACATTCATTAACCTGAATATACTTGTATAATTACGCTATATTAATTTAACGCAATGTTTTATACTCACACTGCAAGCATCAACTGGGCCTTCTGCTTCGGTTACACACACGAATGTTTCATTCGAATATGTGTCCCATGATGGGCCCAATCTGGCTTTGCAGGCTGACTTGGGCACTGACTTGACTTTCCTGACCTGCATGATCTCACGTCCTGGAAAACAACGACAGAATAAAAATTGAACATTGCACTCTTTTTTATGACATATGCATTCAAAATTTAATCAGATAGCGTCTAACAGTTTTCAATGTTTACTACGTCTCATGAACTATATAAGCTTATTTTGTACATAACTAAAGAAGCAGGTTTCTCACAGGGGATCCAACGTTGCTATCAAAGCATTCAAGTTTCTGTAACATCTTTCTATGTACGAAATGTTGTTATCATAAGTTTCCTGATACTTGGCTTGCGTCGGGAGTTTCTCATAAATTGAATGCGGTTTATGAGCCTTCATGTAATATTATCAACTTTCATTTATTAGCACCTACGAGCATTGGACCAATACAAAATCTATTACACCATAAGTTAGGAACCTTTAGTAAGAATTATCACATTCTTTCCATTGCGTCACAAAAATTGTGCTGTACTTCCAACATTAGCAGCATTAATACAAGAGTAACCACGACTGCAGGATATTGTGTTCCATCTTTAACTCAGATCTATATACCAAATTATCAAGCTATGACAAATGATTGTTGCTTATTTGCGACTTTGCTTATAAACAACTAAGGTTTTCAACCATCCAATTTTCCGGTCTTTTTCTCGGGAAACATTTGATATGTTCCATTTAAACTTGAATACAACCTCTAGTCAAATCTAATATTGCATTAGTTTGAGGCCATCTTACATATGTATATATTGCTTAGAGACCATTCATTACATCAAGTCAAATTTTACGTTTCAAGGTAACCAGGAAACAAATGTCAAAATTAACCAATGTAAACTCATTGCTTAGTCAGATATAATTGATGTTGTTTAGACCTGTTCGATGTAGTAAGTCTCGGCTGCTTTTCTGCTCGCCCTGTTAGTTACGGATAGACCACTGAAGTCTTCAACGGAGTAGTTCTTATCAGTTATCACCTACCGAAATATATCTACTGAATGTGTAGCGACCATGTTTATATCATTCCTCCAGTTACCCCCGCAACTCATTTTCTAGGAACGTTGCTAGCCTAGTGAATTCTAGCAGAGTTACGCATCAACTCTAACTCAACATTATTATCATGTTATTGCCTTAAGCATCATTATCAATTAGCAACTGCAGTTGATATTCTGTTAAATATGATTTAGCTACATATGCATATTATTAGCACTGAACTAAGAAATTGCAATAGTAAGTAACTCCTGTAGTCATAATCATTTACAAATCTGAAATACAGCGCGTAACCTGGTCTCCAGACCTAGTTCCAGAATTCCAGTAAATGAGAACTCCTACTGTGTTTCATTCCCGAATACGAAACATAATTGCAAGACGCTAGCGCAGTCTGGTCTCTGACTAACATAATTGCAAGACGCTAGCGCAGTCTGGTCTCTGACTTACACGCCTTAGCCGAACCATAGGGCGTTTGGTATAACCAAACGTTTGGCACGAGTCATAGACCTTAAGGGAATCAATACCGCGCCGCTAGCATTCCCACGTCTTACAAATGGTACTTGAGATGGGAACTGGTAGTAATGGAAGTGTGTGCTATATGTGGCATTAGTATCACTCGGAAGTTAATTTAATTATGACTTAGTATTGGATATACGTACAAGTATGTTCACTTCTTTCAATGAAGCTACAATGTATGATGATAAATACCAGGAGAATTAATGTCTCGCAATAAAAAGTTAATGACTTAGAGATTGATTGATTTAAATTTAAAGTCCATCACCTAATAATGGATTCCTAGTAACTTGAAGATTGCATATTAATGACCTAGTACAGGGTGCGGCGTGGGAACTTACTCTTTTAAAAAAATCACAAAGTAAAAAGTATTAAAGATAGCGTTTTAATTCTTTCTTTTTTACAAAGAGCTACATTTAAAGTTTCGTTGGGTTTACTTACAAGTTTAATTCTTGAATATTACATCTTGTAGGTGACCTCCATGCTGTTCAATACATTTTAGGTCAATTTTGGTGATCACGTAACGGCAATAACCGCAAGAGGTAGGCGACAGATGGGGTGGATCTGGCGGACGTTCAGAACAAGAGAAGCGGAACCGATGATCATACTCTTTAGAGCCCTTGTAATACAAGTTCTCGAATACTGCTGCCAGCTCTGGGCCCCGTTCACACTCGGCGCAGTGCGGCAACTGGAAGGTGTCCAGCGAACCTTCACTTCCAGGATCAGAGAGATGGAAGAGTTGAACTACTGGGAGAGGTTGAGGCGCCTGGGTCTGTACTCACTGCAGAGGAGACGGGAGAGGTATGTCATTCTGTACACATGGAAACTGATAACCGGAATGGTGCCAAACTTCGAGAGCGAGACCTTCAGGATTGAGACATATCACAATGAGAGAAGGGGGAGACTGTGCAAGATCCCCCATTACGTAACGGATCCGCAGTCAGATTTCAGTCCTTGTGGGGAGGATCACTTACCGTGGCAGGGTCAAGGCTGTTCAACGTTCTACCAAAGGATCTAAGAGAGGGGGAGTTCACCCTGGAGACCTTCAAGAGACAGGACGTTTTCCTGGGCACAATCCCAGATCGACCTCCCCTGCAACACTACCAGCGGCGAGAAGCAAGCAACAGCATCGTACATCAGGTGGCCCAAATGAGGGCGGATGAACGATAATCAGAGGCGGCGATCCATCGTGGCCTGGGACTGCTATGTCCCAAACAAGTACCAAGATACCAAGATTAAAACCGACAAAGCAAAAAGTTGTAATAATTTAATTTTTGACAAGTACACCTGATAAAAATCATAAAAATGTTTGTTTATTGTACTTCCTGGCCTCATAATTCTAACTCCATTTTCACACTACCCACTAGAAATATCCAGTCTTATCGCAGTTCTCGTATACACGCTGGCATCTGGGAGCGGCTCCTCCCACGGCTTGGGCCAGCAGATGGGGGCCACTTCGCTCTGAAAAAAATTGTTATATTGAAATGTGCAAGAAATTGTTCGAGGAATTTCCATCGCTTGCAGAATATATATTGATCAATATTGAGGCTTGGATAGAAATTTAAATTCTGAAACAATAATAGATATTCCATGGAAAACTACTGGGTTAGTGGAAACCCTCTTGGACGACATGACTCACCGTGAATGGGACATCTGCCCCAAGACGCAACAAAGCCATACCAAGCGTACGAGCTGCAGTTGAGTCGTATTCAGGATGAATCTCAACAGACTCTATTGAATTTACTGTACTGCCAAGAGAGCCTCCAAAGCGAATTACTCCCTCAGAGACGTACCTGGAATGGATATGTTTTGATGAGTCCCAGCGTAGCGAGTTCGCTACCAATATAAACAAGGATGCCTGTTTTAAATTTCTTCCATCGCTAAGTATCCTACTCATAATGCAATCATAAAAAGTTTGAATTAACAGTGCTCTCGAAACTGAAATCCAAAAGGCTCATTTGGACGGATACAAAACGTGCTGTTTTGTTGTAATGAAGAGCGCTCATTTCATTTGAAGAGCCAGCTATTTGAAATTTCTTTGTAGTTAAACACAAGTTCGTAAGGCATAAGAATGAACTTTTTTAATAATAATCATGAAATTACAGAGTAGAGGGGTTGCATTGGCTATTGAAAGCATTTATTGCAGACGGCAGTGATTGAACGAGCCACGCATTTTCGGTTCTCTCTGTAATAAAATGTCACTAAGGACGGAATTCACTTCAACAATCTACAGATGATGTGCTCAGAAACATACGAGAACAAATATGAAATAGATTTGCTTCCAAGTGATATTCTTAATCAGCGATTGCAAATAATTTTTTTTTAATTTTAAAATATGGCTTGATTTCAATCAAATTTGGAATTTTATTTATTTGCATTATTGTAATTAAATTTAATTCTGATAAACAATTATTGTTTATATGGGCAAATTTCCTCGGAAATTTGGAGCATGGTAAGATTTCGATCAACATCTGGGTGCTTGGGTATTAAGGTTTATGATAGTATAGCCATTCTCATGAGAATGTCGCGATAGTTTCGAACGTTTTAGTCGGCAAATTAATATAGATGGTTCTGAAGTTCGCGATTTTTTTTTCAGACGAAGCTCATATGAATGCGAGATGAATATTCATAAGGATGCGTTAATGAAGGTAGTTTAGGCTACTGTAGGATTCACTCTAACAAAACTGAATGAGCCATGCACAATAGAACGAAGACAATCTTAATGCTCGCTACTTAGGCACAAAAAAAAATTTTTTTTGTTGAAGAAAATTATGTGTCTGCATTAAATTGATTGGATTGCCTCAGATATTTCTTGGAATAATTTTCTGTAGGTTGGCATTATAGGTATTCTGGGCTTCTACGAAAATCTTAGCTAGCTTGGTGTATATAGCTAGCTCGGATGTGGATGATTTGAATCTTTTAAATACATTTATCTTAACGATATTTACATTCAATCTGTATATTATTTTGCGGGGATAGCGATATTAAAAAATATCTATTGTCACAAAAGAAAATCACTGGAACACATCGGGATTTTCCCATAAATTCAATGTGGTTTATGAGTCTACATGTAATATTGACATTCACATATCACAACCTACGGACAGAGGACGAAATATTTGATAAATCAGGTGTAAATGCAAAATCTATTACACCATAGGTTAGGCCAACCTTTAGCAGGAATTACCATCCCCTCTCTATTGCGTCACAAAAATTGTGAGTTGCTTTCATCTAATGTTAATACTATTCTTCAGTTAAAACTCCCTTGAGTTTTAAACTCCCGTCTTCAGAGACGGTGGCATGATCAGTTTAGTTTTCAAGTATTTTATCTAAGATAGATTGTGACGTTATATTTAAAGCCCTTTCTGGCAGCTCTGGGTCTCAATAAAAACATTTTAGAAAATTCCTTGCTTGATTCCGAAGTTGGCAGTCTCTGCTCTTGTTAATACAATTTTTCAGTATCGATGAGAAAAAAATCATCTTGGTGGTGCAGAATTATAAACGCTTTAAATAACCTGGTGGTCTTCTGGGATTCTTGGGATCTGTAGCTTTTTCCTGAGCTCTGACCATTACGTTTCGGTGTTTTGAATGATAGGAATAAAGCTCGTCATTTTTTGATAGTTATAGAAACGCCTCGATCCGCATCAAACTTTGACATGTACGGTATATCAGCTTAATTTTTGTACACTAACGGAGTACCAAATTCGTACGGAGTAAAAATTTTTCGCTAACCCCCAACATTAATAACACAGCCTCCGCAAACATCGTGTGCTCCAGCAGACTTCTTAGAATTCTCCCATACTTAATATACTGATATAAATTAACATATATCAGTAAATTTTGTTAAACACTACTGTGTTATCAGCAGTAGGCGATACGTATACACCCGCTGGAAAACCCCAAATATCTGTTTATCTTTTTGTGTCTGGAGCAAAAGGTTTGAGACATGGATACTGACATCAATAGAGGGTTCTCCGCAGTTCATTATCTACTAATATTCCCATGAAATACATGAGTCTTTTCCGATTTTTAGGTCAAATTGATTGTGTCGTATGTTATTAGTACTATTTCCGTTATGTAAAATACTTATGTGAATCTATTTTTTCTTAAAAAATAGATTCACGTTTCATTGGTCACTCGTCACATTGCGCACTCACGTTTCAATACAATGAGCTGCTGTCAAAACCCAGCGCCGGTTCATCAGCACTCCATTGCAGAACAGGCTGAGGGTGCTCACTCCACCTCTGTGCCTCTGCGTGTACAGCCCTGCCTGGAAACGATTTAAAAATTGAATCAAATAAATCTATATCAATCTTCAGCCATAATAAATTTACTTTTAAATCTTACGAGCAATATCAGTGAAATACGAATTTTTAATAAATTTAAATTCTAAAACCAAATACATCTTGAATTGTTCATTCACGATTAGCGTTGAGACAAATAGAATAAATAGATTAGAAATTTCTTAATTACAGGCTGAAATAATCGAAAAACCTCAAACCTTGGTACCATTAAAATGTAGGAAATTATTGAACGTCGTTCTGAGATTTTGCGAGACTGGGATTCGTGAACCTATAAACTGAACCCAAAAGAACCAGAAAGAAAACTACCATCCAGATACTATATTTCACCAAAAGAATTTCATCCTAAACTGCATGCAACGAATATTATTAATTTTGTTGTGCTTATAATGACGACTTTAAAACATTACCATGTGCAGCCTGTAGCATATAACGTTTCCTGTATTCTTGATAACTAGCGGCTAAGAAGAAGCACGTTTTAGAAGTCGTGCTCCGTACGCCTTCGTTCCTGTTTCATGTTCATTATGTTGGTTCCAATAAAGCCTGTTCCGTGCTGCCGTGTTCTTCCCACCTTTCACGCGCGTAACTTCATACATTACACAGCCAATATTTCAAATTCATTAGGCTATTTGTTTCGAACATAATATATGCATCTTAATAACACATTATTAACCTACGGTTAAATTGTAACTTCAAGTAGTGGAGTAATTCGTATATGCATGAATTTAGAATGAAAACAGTATTACATGAATTCGGTTTAATTAGAAAAATTGATAAAAGAGAATAATTCACGAATAATTACAAATAATAAAGGAATGAGGGCAACATTTTAGGGCATAATTTGAAGGAGATTGGTGTGGTATGAATAGAAAGGTATAGGTAAAAAAACTGTGGGTCGTTTAGGGTAAAAACCAAGCAATACGGCGTTGCGGGTTGCGAGGTATTTAAGCAGCACAGCGCACTGCGGGAGTCAGTCGAGCACGGAGCGAAGTCTTGGACGGTTGTCTACCGAGTTAGCCGGCAATAGAAGCCCGGCGTAAGTGTGAGGAGCAGAGTGTTTAAAGACAACCGCGACGATTTGAGATGAACAACCAGAATTAACGGCCCGGAAGCTACAACGCGAGTCGAGTTCTACGAATTACCTGCCGACAGCGATTTTCACCGAAGCCGAGTTCTACGAATTACCTGCTGACAGATTTTTTCACCGAAGCCGAGATCTACGAGTTACCTATCACCATAGATTTTTAACGAAGCAAAGAACAACGTCGAGTATCTACGAAGAAGATATCGCAATCGAACTATATGAGCTCCGAGGACACTACGCGAGTGAATACCAGAGAACAAACATCATGAGTATTAATTTCCCAAGCCTCGTACCGAAGCTTCACAGTCAGATTTCCGTGGATTGCCCTCCTCCACAACTCCCGGTGATGTATTGGTTTCAGCAATTGTGCTAGGCAGTGCTCTTAAATGTGTTTGAAATTTGTGTCTAATTATTAGGTTTTATCCGTGTCCTCATCATTATCACCGTGTTCCAGCCATGTAATTAAGGGGAGCGTCTAGGGTAAAATTTATCTCGGCTATTTACAAACGGATCACTCTGAAACTTGGTACACATATGTAAAATAGAATTCTAAGACATTTTTGTTCGTGTAAATTTTTCGAAAAAAATGAAAGAAAACGTGAAATTCTTAGAAAACGGCCAAAAAAGGGGGTACCGTAGAAATCTATCTCCTCCTAGGATTTTCAAGCTACAACATTGAGACACATATCATTCGATGCGTAAATACTATATCTAAAACGCAACACGAGGGTTTTTAGGATTTCTCATTTTTGTGGGTGTGGGGGCATTTTTCGTAAATTTTTCGAAAATTTTTCGATTTTCCCCCCCGCCACCCCCCCTTTTGCGGAATAAAATCCAAACTATAACGAAATTAGAAAAACGCCCGTGTTACGTTAATCGAATGGTGTATGTCTCATTGTTGTAGCTTAAAAACTCTAGGAGGAGATAGGTTTGCAGTGACAATAAGTTAACTTTTCAGTAGAGCCCGTCAAAGTCCCGCGCGCATCGAAATAGGCACTCAATGTAGCAAGGATACAAAACTAAACGTTACTGCAGCTTGATTCCAGTCAAGGATGGTGGGAGCGACTGCATGCACACCTCCTCATACGACGCCAGGCGGGTAACTAAGGTGCACTTCAAGCAGACACTCTATTTAAAGTGCTCGCTGCGAATTTCCTCCCATTCTATTTGTTAAAGAACTACCCCACCCCCCTCCCTTTCATGATCTGTCGTGAACGCATAAATCAACGTACAGAGATGGTTTTGGTACCGTTGGATAGATCAGAATGTCAGCTTTAAGATGAGACTAAAAACCGGAAAAGCCGAAATCCAAAATTTTACCCTAGACGCTCCCCTTAAGTGCCCTGATTTTTATAATATAGGAAGTGTTGAGATATTCATGTGTTGTTTGTTCTTTTCCTTCTTGTCTTCTTGTTAATTCGTGCTGCCATATCGAGAACCAATAACTTGCCTCACTTAAACCGCTAAGGCTTAATCAACATGACATTATAAGAAGTTAACATAACGTAAAACCTGAAGGGATGAGGTTTTCTTTCTTGATAGATCATCACAAGAAGTACATTGTCCGAAATTAAATTAAATAGGAAAGAAAAGCATCAAGAATTTAATAGAATAGAACCATCATAACTTTGTCAATTTTTTTTAAAGGCCTTTGTCAATTCAAATTGAACTGTTTAAAAACTGCTGCAACTGATTCTTAGTTTTGATTTGAACTAATGACTATATAACCTTTCATTGTAAGAATGAAGTATTGGTAATCTCGACGAGAGAAAGAAAAATAAATTTAAATTGTTTAAAAACGGTCAGGCTAAAGAGCCGCTGTGCACTGCTAAAGACGCTTCAGAGCTGGCGATTAGCTACGTATTTTGGGCCGCTGGTGCTGTGTGAGAGCAGGACGGAAGTACACTGTTGCAAGCCATTAGGTACGAATATCGTTAACGAAGGTAATTTTATCAGAGATCAAAGGGCTTAATTTTAACCAGGTAGTAAATACGCATATAAATGTATATATGTTTACGATTATACAACGACTCATTATCGATTTACATGAATACGAGTATAAATGCGCCAAATAAGAATGGTTAGGACAACAAATAAAAAACTTATGGAAATGATCAATAATATTGATGTTTTAATTGATGAATTGTCAACTTTAGGATCTTACCAGCCATGGCCAGCTATTGTCGGTTGCGCGTCGCACCTTCACGCCACAGCCTCCCCCTGCTCATTATTAATCGTTGTTATTCGCACCACATCAGACAAAAACTGATCTGTGTGTATCTAAGTTTATCATGATTGTGGCGAGGTGTCACTAGGAAAGAATGAAAAAACAAGAGTTGACACAGATTGGCCTAAATGATGAAGGATAAATGGAAAAGACGTTTAGTGACGAAGGTAGATGCGTATCACAATATAGAATGAGGGTTTTAGATGCTGAATAAGGGTATCCGAGGCGAGAAAACTCGGCAGGGCTTTGGATGTCTTGCCGAATGTGTAATGAAAGGGTTATGGTTTATTTTTCACAGTATTTATATACAGGTTCTAGCTTTAAAGTTCCTCGAAACAACTCACATACTACATAGCAGATAACAAGCACATAGTGATAATCAGACTGTATTTGGATGTCTTGCCGGATGAGTGATGAAAGGGTTATGGTTTATTCTTCACAGTATTTATATACAGGGTCTAGCTTTAAGTTTCTCGAAACAACCCACATACTATATAGTAGATAACAAGCACACATGGTAATCCGACTGTACAAATTATATCCTTGCAGTTATGGAGCATAACTCTTTCGCTACCAAGCGTTGGCCTGCTCTGCTGTCCATGGAGCCAGGTGATAAATTTTATCTTATATTGTCTCATTTTTCGCACAGTTGTGGCGTTTAATTAGCAATAGTTGAAACTGAACGTATGATTCTTCATTACACGCAAGTTGTCATATGAAACCCTTCAGACAACACTCGAAAATTTATAATGGTCAAAATGGTCCTAATATTAACCCAACGCCTTTTGATACCCGAGCAGAGTGGCGGACTTTTGTAATTCTGATACCTATTGTGATACCTATTCTTCCTTCTCTCAGTTTTTTCTACAGGACGTTTTAGGGGTTGAGCCATACAGGACGCTCATTTGAGCCATACAGGACGCTCAGGGCTGAGTTGTATGATTTTGTATTGTATGGTAGTTAGGTGTACCGAACAGGATTCATCCGAAAGACTTGCCTCTCACTCACCAGCAACAGTCTCCCCTGCAAGGAATTTATTTGCCACATGAATTTATTTGCCACGCAAAACTGACTGTACTTTGCAGCCACCAAAACACGAAGTAAACAGGAAGGCATCCATACCACTACACAGAAACGAAAGCACAAGACCCCAAAGAAAATATTTGTTTTGACAATTACATAAATTATTTACCTTGTGCAGATATGGTGTCTCTTATCCAGTTAAGGTTAATGGGCGTGCTGAGTGGTACGGCGCCTTCAGCAAACATTGTTAAGCTGCATGTTGGGCCGTTGGTGACGATGCCAGCCAGAACGTGGTTGCCCGATGTTGACTGGAAGGTAACTGGTGACCCTGAAGCACCCTGACATATGTAAGTTTAAATTATTATCATAAACTATTACTTTTACGTCTGACAGACCGTAAACTTATAATGCAAATGTCAGTTAAGAAATTTCTCCTAGTGATTGAATTCCTACTACGGAGTATTAGATAGACACCTATCCATTTTACTGGTATACGATGTCGGTCATGCGCCCGAATGAACCAGTCAATCAGCAAAAGATTATATTCGTAAAACCATCAGTCTTGACAGTACAATGCGATAAAATTTCCTTTCAAGACCAAGCTCATAATATACCAGACCGTCCACAGCAACACTGTTCCAAAAAACAATGGAAACATCAAGAAAAACGTTTTCATTGAATGTTTGTCGCGTATTTTACATTAGAATGGCAAGTGACCACCGATCCAGTTCCTATGTGTTCATCATCTTTCATGTCATACATAAAGTTATTATGTTTCAATTGATGTGTAGCTCATATCATAAATGTATATAAATTCACATGTTACTTTGATGTGAGTTTAAATCAGGATTTTCAATTTTATAGTATATCCACGGCAAACATTTTCTTTGTAAATGTTTCACTTGTTGCAGTAGCACTGCTTAGGTGAGTGTAACTTAGGGGTGTTAACGTTTCGATGACAAATCAGTTTGAAGGTTTTACATATATGCAATGAATTTTGATAAAATTAAGCTATTGAATACAGTATGCATAACAACTTCTTGGTTTTAAAAGGAAAAAATATACAAATTGTTCAGTTTGGTGCGAGAAAACGACTAAGGGATCATAAAGCATAGTTGGTATTCAATAACTTCACTTTGTGCTTTTGATATGATTATTACGTAAATTACATACAAAAGGGACACAGCGATGTTCGATAATTCAAACGCGAGGCTTCAAACGATAAATCGCGAAGCTCTCATAAAGTCTATAAAAAACAAACTCTGCCTTCATAATTCTATGAATTGAAAAATCTGATGACAATACATTGTTTGAAATAACGTTGAGAAAACGGTCTGACCAGCGTTACAGTTGCCGGCCTCTCCATGAAATTAAATGTCGCCGCCTTTTCCCAGTATGGTTCGGTATTCAACTGTTATCCCGCAGAAACGAACAGCGACATCCTTTAATTTCACTTTATATGGCGGGCCACTAAAATAGCGGTCAGACCGTATATTGCGGCGTTTTTTAGAACAGTGTATACTATATACCACATATTTCGCCTCAGTATAATAAAGCTTAGTAGCTTATGTCTTCAACCCGTTATTTTTACGTCATTTCAACAGTATAGCCAACTTGCGCTGCCCAGCATTCAGTAGCATTCTAAAATCTTTGTTTCTAGTACTTGTGGTGTACAGTTTTGTCAAAAATGACCAGCACTCTGTACATGTGTTCGCAGCAAAGAGCTTGCAGTTTGCCGACATGATGTTTCCCCAACTGCAACCAAAACCTTTGCTCGTTGAGATATTTGTAATAGCTTTGTTGGAAGGCAACAAAGTGCATTCGTCTTGCACAATTAAGTTTCACACACTCGGATGCATTATAACTCAATGTCTCAACAATCAATTTCTCATTTTCGCATCTTTGTAATTCGAACGAATTTTCAGAAAGAATGTGTGCACGTAACGTTTTCTCAATTTACAGTTCAAATTATGGCTTAGAAAGATATTTGCATCCGTAGAATAACTACAAGGATATAATTATAATCAGAGCAAAATCAAAATTGCACGCAAGTGATGAAAGTTTAACTTCAATCCTTTATTGTCGCTAGTTCTCTCCCGCCATTACAAAATATAAAACTGAAGGCAATTGCTTATTCAAATCTTCTCGATATGTGCTTAAACTAAGTGCAATCTATTCATCTAAATAAAAATGAAATTATACAAATGTTATATGCTCTCATGATGGAAAATATATCACTAAAATATAACAACAAATTTTGTCGAAAGCCTTCCTTATCAAAAACCATCTTTGCGTTTTCTCGTTTTAATTTATAGCGCATTTTCTCATTTATGGAAAAAAGGCGCAATATTGTGCTCGTCATGTCCGTCCGCCCATCCGTGACTTCACGAACGGTCGCACGAGAAAATGCGTTCTCTGACACTCACTGCAGTGAGTACTGGTCCGCTTTTTTCAATATTCAATTACTTTTTCAAAAAATCAATTCTTAGGTATTGTCAGCATGTCAGTTATCGGAGCACTAAAAAAACTGGCCTGCTTATATATATATTTTGGCTCAGTCTTTAGAATAAATAACTATACATAGAAAAAATATATTCTATGGAAATAGTAGAATCATGAATACTATAGAAATTCAGCTAGCGATATTTACGTATAGCAATCAGTATTAGCTAAACATATACTTAATTAAAAAAATTATTGCTTCATTGTGGGAAAAGAAATATGTTTTTTTCCATCTTACATGCAAATCAATTTTCTGCAAAAATGATATTAATTGATTATAATTTTCATACAGAATACCGAACCTTCTAGTGATATTTTGCAGATTCCATGTCTAATTCATTTCATTCATCCATTTAGGAACATCACATCACGTTGGGGTCATGACTGACACAAAATTATGATTGCGTAAGACTAGTATTCCGTATAAAATTACTAGTACATTCTAGGAGGCACAGGTCTTATATCAGATAAAAGAGTGGTAATTATTTAATTTTCACAATTGTTAATACGCCTTATAAACAAAAATAGTTTTAAACCTCAAATGTGTTGATGATATTCCTGTCTAATTGTGCTGTAAAAGAACATCACAAAACAGTTGTCAAAAGTGGCAATTCTTGTTTTTTCAGAGTTTCTGATTTCAAAAGTAAATAGCTTTTCAGCACAAAAGTTGCCAAAGAATATATCGTAAGTACCTCACAGTTCATTACCGAACCTTTGTAACTGCACACCACTAAAATCGGTTTTATATTAATCAAATCACGCATCAGGTCGCATAGCATGTCGATCAGTCACCACTCTCGTTCGTCGTTTTTTCGCTGCATTATGAATTGTAAAAGCACAATAAGATTACCAAATGGATATTCTATGTTGTAGTGTTGTATTTTGTAAATCATTTCCTTCCGTGGAAAAGTGAATAGCTGCATAAGAGGGCTTACCATACAACTGTCGAGACCTCCAACTGGGTCGCCTAAGCAGGCAACCTGATCATCAGAGAAACCCTTGCCGTCTGCAGGAGATGAGTCGTGAAAGTAGCTGCACTGAGTCAGAGGTGACACAGTTACCTGTCCGTGTTGAAGCTTCAATTCTGCGCAGAAATGTCTATATTAATAGGTAAGGCGCAGAGCTGTTAGCGTTGAGATGGCATGTTGAAAAAATGATACGAGCCTAAGCTGGTGTTATCCTTACATATATATCCTCAGATGGAAGCAGCGTCCTACGTACTACCACATGTAGTATAATTTAGAATCTTGGTTTAATGAACGATTTATCAAATGAATTTCATTTAAAACGAAAAATCATATCGAGAAAAGCGTTTTTCATCTTTATTCAGGTAGCTTAAGCCGTGGAAAGAAGCGAAACATATAATTAGCCATTTGAATGTACTTGAGTGTAAATTCACCAGACGTCACTTTAATTTTGGTGTTTATTTGAGGCTAGAACTTGTGAAACATTGTTTCGTGAAAAAGTTTATGACTAGAATAGGAAACATGCTATATATTACATGGTAGCATCATTGAGTTTTGGATTACCATGCAACTCCCAAACAAAACATATAATCAAATATAGATTCATATTATTGCAAGAGTATCAAGTATCTTACGCCAGTCCTTAAATACGTACGCACGGAAATCAACACAATTCATATGCATGCACTGCGTTATCATATGCGCTATGGTGACATGTTGCATCGCTATGGAAATCATCATCCCAGCGTGGAAATAATATCTTCCTTGGGAATTATAAATTTTCTATACCTTAGATTTTTTATATAAAATATTTGGAGAGTACAATAAAAATTAAATTTAAAAAAGATAATTGCGCATTATTATATTATTCAGATTATATAATTATTATTATTATTATGTAATTATTATTATTAGTATTATTAAACTCAGATTTTAATTGTGTTCGCAGAAGAGCTTGAATGCTTACTTCCGTTACTACCATACATGGCTTTGGTGAGGCGCTTGCCGAGCAGGGAACCCACCACGGCATCGTCAGGCAGACCCAAAGGCCGCACGCTCTCCTTACAAACAACGTAAAATATTATTTTAATTCTGGGTGTGCGGAGGATGAATAGCCTGTGAATTTCATTGTTATTTAGTAAGTATGAATACGGTATAGTTCTATTGTTATTAAATTGAAGTAAAACGTACATAAAAGTATGCGGCATAAATTATTTACGTTGCTAGTTGTACAAAAATAGGTCCAATATGTGAGAATAACGACGAGAGTGAATGGCTGTCATTTGTCATTTTTGCGCACTTATGAATCAAGCGTCAAATATTATTCAGTCAAATTTTAATAGTGTAATTTACTAGGTTTCATGCATTAGATGAATAAGTTTAATGCTATTAGTACCCTCGCAAACTACTGACATCAGAAGTAGAGCTGGTGAAAAACAGCTGTCAATAACTGCTTCAAGAGTTAATAGTTCTCGTAGTGAGTTGAATCTTATGAGGTATTTTGAATCGATTTTATCTATAGAAAGTCCCTCCCGATGCGACTTATCTTCAGAATTATTTTTTCTCATTTTCCGAAAAGAAGATAGTTCTGAGTACTTAGTGCAGGACTTTTACGGCTCTTGCAGGATTGTCATGGTAATACATTGACGCTTGTTGCATTGTTCATGTATGTATATAGCCCTGAGTAGAATCAAGCAGAAACAGAGGAGCACTGGGCATGTTTTTCAAATTGAAAAATTTCTTAAATATCTGTGTGAAATTTTACACAATGATTACATTTTTTCAGGACAGATATCGACAGTTTTTTTAAGAATAATATTTCCCAGATCAATCATTGTACCGAAGATTGAGTCCTTTTTGAATGGATAACTATTTTTATTGTATTACTTGCTATTAACATCTATACTCACCGACAGAAGCGCGCTGTTCTTGAGTTTAATAAGGGCAAGATCGGGACTCAAGCCGTTGGCGAAGGTGCTGTTTATTCCAAACAGAGGGTGAGTGATGTAAGTGTCGAACACGTAGTCATTATTGCTGTCAAAACCACCCAGTCTCACGACATCAGCATTCCTGCAGAACATTCATGCATAGTATTGACCATGAACAATAATTGATATCATCCTATAGCAGCGAATGAATTTTTAGTTTGCTATTCTATGAGAATAGTTATTAACAATAGAGCATAACTTATTATTGACAACGATATCTCATCATTTTATTTTCTTTCATGCTTCTCTCTATTCCAGGTGCAAGTTTGATTCGCAAGTAGTGCACTGATCATTCTTTGTTTAAAAAACAAACGAAATTTGTCTGTGCAAACGCTCTGTTTGCAACCGATGTACGGTTGCAAAAAAACACTCTGTCCGGGAAAAATTGTTTTCTCGACCATTCATTTATTCACAACTGTTTTAGTTTTCATCAAGGAGTTTTTCATCAAGTTCATTTCTGCGAATTTTTTTACTTTGTTTGAAGTTTGGCGCAGCATTGAATTGTAAATATACGTATAGTCTATTTGGTTTTCAGTGGTGAAGTCATGCGACATTAATTACGAGACGGCGGTGGGAGAAGAGGGGTTAAATTAAAAAATGAAGTCGAATTTTCTGCTTTTTAAGTGTTTATTTAATTGAAATTTCGAAATAGAAATTTCCATTCTATGCAAAAAACGGCAAGCAAAAGTATTGCTTGGAAATTGTTTAATTGAATTAGGGATAACGGAACTGGAAGGTAGCGCGATTTCGGAGAACGGGATTCTCTAGTCTCGGGGATTCTCTATCCAGAGCAACGTTGGGTCACGATGCTAGTTCTTCATATGTGATAACTTTATAATATCATGCGACATTCACGATGAAGTACCGATGGGATGTAGCTAGTCATCAAGTGTGGAAACTATTACAATACCAGCTGATTTGCTTCTTGCTTAATCAAAATTAATGAGACAAGCTCGGAAGCTTCTTTTGGACACAAAAACATGCATAGAAGATCTCTACGGATCGGTACAAGGCATGGTTTTGTAAAACATTCTGATGGACATGCACTGAACAAATTTTCGATTAAAGAGTACAAGCTTCAAAACAATACCTAGGTTGTATTGTAATCGATAATGATTCTCTACTCCACGTTTGGTCTGCAGTTTTTTATGTGTACAACTGTACCTCCGACCACCATCTGTACACTCTTGATGAGTCCATTTCCGCATTTGATTGGGCGACTGCAGGATGCCGGTGCTCATAACTTCCTTTTCTTTCCGCGATTGCGCTTTATTTTCCAAGACAGTTTTTGACGGTGTTAAGCTAAGGTATATGTTGCCTATTCACATTTTCGAGTCCTTGTATATATAGTACAAGTAAAGACAGTCATGCACGGTCCACTCCAATATTTTTTTAATGCATTCCTGTAGATGAATTTGCACCAGCCTTGCAAAGCCTATGCCCTGCCCATGGTGTGAATGCTTCTATGGAAATGCATTAATGAATATTGGACTGGACCGTGGGTGACATATGCCTAGAGTGTGCCCGGTAGTACATATGGTGTGATTAGTGTGGCCGTCGCTGGTACAAAATAATCACGAAAGTGCTGGCTGGAGGGACGGACGTTTCTCGGATGTTAGATTCTTTTTAAATATTGACTAAACAAAAAATTTCATGTCATCGTATGGATTAACGCATTCCAGATTTTTTATTTAAAATTAAGTGATCACTTCTTCATAACTTAAAAATGCAATCAATAATTCCTGGTAAATGATTCGAGTCGCCAGACAGGCGACTGATCAACCGAGCGTTTGAATTTAACAATGTCAGTATCAGAAGTGGAGTCAAATAATGTCATGAATGCTGCACATGTCTGGAAATACACAACGTGATGGTTGCTCAGAAATGAATAATGATCATCCAAACTTTTGCTGCAAATACGTGCATGCATGAAGCTTTGATTCAGTTTTGGAGTTTTGCCTGAGCTCGTGGCAAAAATTTGTCACAATATTTTCATCTTTTCGTGGTAACGCGTTAACCACTGATTGCTAAATATTTGCGTCGAATTTTAACGGCTATAAATTTTTCATTTGTGAGTGACTATTAATTTGTGTAATCACGAGGCAGTTCATCATTCCAAGAAAAGAGAGAATAAAAAGTTCCTAAAATTTGCATATATGATATTAATGTACAGCATATGTTAAATTCATAACGGAAGCCATGGAGCGCAAAACACAACTAAAACATAGCTTAATTTAATCGCAGGCGATATAAGAACGCATATTATATAATAATAAATAATAACATAGAGTGATCAGATTTTTTCGATCAGGTCATTCAGGCCTGTTGGCGACCATCCAGCCACCAGGCCGGTTTCGAACAGAGTTTTCAAAACTTGTGAGTTGGAAACCCTAACTCTCTGCATCAATCTCTGTGTTATCAACTCGTTTGTCAGTGATACTCGTTAAAATAAAATGAAAATTTTGTCATATTATGGTAATATCAAATAGAATAAAGAAAAAATAGTATTTATGGAAAAGTTTGTGTTCGTTTAGTCAGTACCACGCTAGCTGTACATACTCATTTTTGAGGCAGTGGGCAGCGGTCAGCAGCCAGTCTCTGCTGAGCAGCACTGCATGGCACACCCACTGGGTGCCGTAACGAGTGCCTCGGCCCAGCACCGCCTGCCACAGGAAATTATAAATAATCATGATTTTCGTCCATAAATTCAAACATATTTTGTGGGGTAATTGTTTGGTGTATGGCCTGTTTTGTAAAATCTATGCATTATTGGACGGCTTTTGCTGAATTGTTTCCTGTTGATTGATTCTTAAAGAGAATGACTTGTTTATGGTATGGGCAGTCCGCGGCGAATGTACGATGGTCATTTTAGCAGTTAATGAATTTTTGAAGGATTGGTATATTGGAAGTATATATGTTCTATAACTGTATATTCGAAACCAGTGCAGAAGAGTGCAAGTCATACATAGAAGAGTGTAGTTCACTTGAGATATTGAGGACTTAGAAGAGAACTATAAATGACTTAAAATCGAACTATAATGACTACCCATGCACTCACCAACCAAGGAAATCGTTGAGTTCCAGCGTTAGCGTTGGAGGCCACTTGGCCGCACACTGAAAAAAGAAAACAACTCGAAAATTTTAGTTTTACCGATTATCTATTATGTACTTACTCGCAATTCAGATACCGAGTTGTGTTGGGTACATTTTTCACGTAAACAACGTTTCCTATGCTTACTAGCATAGGAAGCGCAGCAGTGATTCATGTTCAATATTTATCCTGTAGGTACAATAATTTTATTCATATACAACTAAACCGTGTATACACTAAACTAAAAAATACAACAAAACCTGCAGGAAGACGCTGTGGCGCTCATTGTGAAATTTTCCCAAGCCGTTTTCAGATGATGTGAGCGATTCATGTAAGGCAAACAACACTGAGCTTCGATTTCACTGGCAAATTACTATGTAGTTATTTCAGTGGCTAGAGAGTTTATATTAGGTGCGGTAGAAAATCAGTCATTTAAACAGGTTTTTAGTTTTTAAGCTGGGTTACTATTTTACGACCTGACAAGGCGTACAATTAAGGCGACCTGACAAGGTGGCCACCATCTTCCTTATATTGTTTCCAGAACATAAGTATTCTAAATGGTATGTTCTGCTAACCTCGAGGAAAATAAACTTTTTTCTTTATGTACCTCCTCTCTTTTATTTTGCCTCAAAACTTCTCAATCGGTTCTGCCCCACCCTGTATATAGACATAAGTTGAACATTTTAAAGAAGCATTCAAACCTATAATGTCACATATATATTCTCAACGTTTGAGCATCTTTGAAACTTGGAAATAAGTAGGAGGCTGATTGGGCGTGTATACACGATTTTTATAGCGTGAGATATTGCCTGGAAATTTATTTTTCACGTCGAGGATAGTTTGCTTTAAAAAATTAAAACGTGATATTTCTGTTGCTAAGTTTAAATAATATGAAGTACAAGTTTCCAATTATTTGAAAAGTTGACTTAGACTGGAGTTCCGTACCGAATGTTGGTCTGAACGGGTCAATTGCAGTGCTTTAATTGCAAAATTATCAACTGGATGGGGGATGAGATTCGAAATTCTCAAATTGGTGATACCATGATTTTTAGTAACGGGATTCTCAAATTGCAAAGATTATATAAATGTTGAACCCCGGAAATGTCGGGCTAAAACGCTAGTTTAAAATGAATTTGGTAACAATAATGTAAAAAATATGATTAGATTTTAATTGGCAGAATTAACGCCGTATCGCAATTACTCATGCTTCCATCATCAATTGTAAATTTTAGATCAAGGTTGGATTCAGATTATCTTGACAATATTCCGCCACGACAGGTATTGTGGATACATAGTGGAATAGCCTTTACGTATAATACCCCCGTTTGATGATGCGCTAGGCAGCAAACGTGCATGGTAGCTTCAATCCTCTTCTAAACTTTCCGAGGGATTCTTATGCGAGTAAACACCATTATGAATGGAGATTTATTCTAGTTACAATATGCTTGTCACACCGGAACATTATTTTGAAACATGAACATGAACGGTCGCCGCACCGCGTTTGTTTGAGGGAGTAATTGCTATATGAGCATCAGCCATATCCAATGCTTTTCCCAGAATCCATTTATTACGTGCTCTTAAAAAGTCATTTTGTCAATAAAGTGTTCTCTTTAATAACATTAAACTCATGAAAATATGAGTGCACTGCCCATTATGAATATTTTATTGAGGTGAAAGACGTGAAATTTTCATTTAATTGTGTGTTAGACTTGATGTATCAGGAGCACCTTTCTGCCTGATCACTGTCGAGAATCTCAGTCAAAATAACATAAGCCGGTACAGACCAGCTATTTATCGGGGTGAAAAAAAAGTTGTTTAAAAAACGTTGGACGATTGGATGGGCGAAATTTTTGGTACTAAATTTATACAAACAAAATCCCTAGGATAGGATCTTGGTCGCGTTCATTCTGTACTCTCTGACTATGAGTTTTATGCTCTATATGCATCAATCTGCCTGAATTTTGTATAATCTGTCCAACAGAATCTTACACAGTTTCAGGGCTCATGTTTGATGTTGGTCGACAATTCATGTCAGTTAACACAAAGACTTGCTGCTTTTCAATTCAGATGATCCACCAAAAACTGCGTTTGTCCAAAAATATGGAGCCCCCAGCACCGACATCTGTGATAAAAACCTAACTCCAATTGATGAAATTCCTAAATTAAATTTTAATCCGGTAACAAGCTCCAAATTCGATATGAAAGGCTTCGACGATTATACTTCACTGCATAGGCGCTTACTGAGAGTAGAATTTCGAGGAAACGCGGCGCTTTGTCGCTTATCACTAGAACCTAACAATTGGCCATTCCGCGTTGTCTCAAGAGTCATTTTTCTTTGGTCTCTATCGCGTGAACAACCGCTAGAGTTAAGCTTAAATTAAAACTTAACTTGAATCTAATTTCTTTTACTTAAAAATCTCTGTAATCTGGCGATAAAATTGTGTCTACGAATAAGGAGTAGCAAGCCATAAAAAATGTGCATCGATCTTACAACAACATTAAGACTTGAACGGAAATTGGCCGTATATTTCCTATTCGGTTAATGCCCTAGTTGATGTTTACTTTGAACATATAGTTTCAAGTCCTTTATTATACACTGATATATATTGATTTAATGACATGTCATAGTTCTAACTACCAATGTCTGTACAAGTCTTGGTCAGCGTAACCTTCTTCTACTCTCAATAAACCATTCAGGTTTTATTGCTGCACGTTTATCATAACCACGGATACTACTTAATTAATTCAAATATGTACCGAGACATTATCTTAGATTTTCCCTCAGTACTATCTACCAGACCTCATCTTATTACCACATTTGTGATCACGTGATTAGTCTTGATATGTCTCGGTAAATATCCACTGAAAAGATGTAAATTTCGGAACATATATAAAGCTTTTATTACATCCGCGAAGTATCATCTTGTCTCGCTATTTCCAGCATTAAAAATAAAAGTTGAAACCCGACAAAATTTTCATAATAAAATTAAAGCGTCTCGAAGCAAAAAACAATGAGACACAGATGCTTAATGAGCACTGCATGCAGTCTCCTGGCAGTCTTATCCGTACATCCGTCAACGCGCCATATGTTTTCATGCAGTGGCGATAGCACGGCAGTGAGGCACGAGTAAGCTTACCTGTCTCTTCTATTGTTTGGCATTTTAACAACTGATAAATCACTCGTTTGGCCTCGGACTTACATCGAAAACAATCTTTGGCAATCCCTGGTAAATTTTTCAGTGTAAAAAGAATGGAAAATAACTATAAGGTACTCGATTACACTGTGTCTACGGATAAACAAATTTCATCAATTTATCTTTACTCACAAGTAATTGAAATAGTGCGCTAGTTAGGACATGAAACTTGTTATTGATAGGCAATCAACAAGTAAATTGGTAATTAATAGAGTAATAATAATTCAGTAAGCACTCTATGACATAAAAACATAATTACAAACTAAATATTCTACAGAAGCAAGCAAACCTTACCGCCGAAATAAAGCAAAAACAGATTTTAAATGATTTTTTACTGTTGCCGGGCCGATAAAAAAGAATTGATAAGAACAACAGGTGGTACAGGGTGGCCAAAGAAATGAAGGAGAAATGTAAAGGACGGTAGGAGCTTAAAAAAAGACGCAGAACTTGTTTAAATGGTGTGTGGGGTTTGGGGGGATCCGTCTGGTCCCTGGATTATTTATCCGTGGAGGTGATGGGAGGGTGGTGGTTTCTTGTTTACATTATTTATATTTTTTTAGTAAATTTGAAAGAAAATAAAAATAATGAGTCCTCTCTTTACATAAAATGGGATTTATGTCGCGCACATCATGCCTCTGAAGCTTAAGTGTGAAGCTGTAGAGGCCGGTACTCAGAGGTGGGCAGTAGCGCGCTACGTGTAGCGGCCGCTACATTTTCAGTAAAGGTAGCGGTAGCGCCCGTACATTTAAGCGATTGTAGCGGTGGCGGTAGCGCCCGCTACATTTAGAGCATGTAGCGGTAGCGGCCGCTACATTTCAAAGTAGCGCTGCCCAGCTCTGCCGGTACTGTGACTCACCTTTGACAAGCGCAGAACGAAGCGCTGGAATGATGTGAGTGACCGGAGTCGCCGTCGTGGATGCCGGGGCTTTTGGGATGAAGTCAGCGATGGAGTCTCGTCTGGCAGCAAGAGTGGCAGTCAAGATAAGTAAGAAGAATACGCATTTCAACGCACTCATAATGGAAGCAGCCATTGCATATATATAGGCTCTTCCTACGATTAATTTTCTGCGGAAAAACAAATAGATTTGTAGTTAAAAAATTGACCGTCCTAGTTATTGCCCGGTTTTTAGTTAATGTAACTTCTCGACTTATTATTATTAAAACTCATGAAGCTTGTGAGACAGAATCATGCGGCCTAGATTCAATAAGAAAATTCTTCGCTAGATGGTGATCCATCCAAGGGAGCTGTAATTAAGTGAACGAGATGCTTAAAAGTTCGAGTGCGAACTCAAAAGAATCGTATGGATGGCGTAATATTAATCATGATTTAATCTTGGTTACTGATGCTAATTCAGACGTAAATAAGGTTAATTCTGTCTACATTGCCCAGGCAACGCCTCATTTAAGACGGAATTTCAGTCGTCACAGTAAACTTCACCAAAGACAATTTGAAACATTGGAAGAGAGGCTTGTTGGTGTGACTTGTGCTGCTAAGAATCATTTAAGCACGGGCTTCAGCTGCCTAATTTCAATCGAGCAAGAAAACACGGAGAATGCAAAAAGTCCAAGCAAAGTTCTCGGTAATACGAACTTATCGCAGCAGTGCAGTCAATTCACGCAGTTATATCTAACATAAGTCTTCTCTTACATACAAGCGGACTAGACCGGCGGTGACTGATTTATTACCCTGAGACCAAAGAATCCCTGAGATCGAAGATTCACGTTATCCCGGATACTGTAATCCTAAATCCCTTCACTCTTTATCCCGTTCACAATTTTAAAACTATTGCAGTGTAAATACTATATTTCAAAAGAAATTTATTTAATAAAATACAACTAAAAATAATATCTATTTTAAACAAACTTCTACTTCCTTCCATTTCCAAAGCCTAATGATTCAATCACCCAAAATAGATTTCAGGCCCTGTTAATATCCCGACATGATAAGTATTTATTGTGGACGTGTGTATCACTTCAGTGTTCTGTGCTGGCGAAAAATACGGCCCAGCGTCCTACATTTCTTGGTGAAAGTTTTCCGATGCATTTAACAGCTAAGGCCGTTTTCGCTCATCCATGTCAGCAACGCTCGTGATTTTTAAGTCGATATTTCCTGAAATATTCTCTTCCTTCGATATAAATCAAGAAATGAGGCGAATTCTGATCACGTACAGCAAAATTTTCAGTCCAATGAAGTGCAATAAAGTGCAATAATAAATAATAACTATTGGAGACAATGCTGAGCAGTTCTAGACGCGTCTGATGTGCCAAAAGGGAAACATCAGCAACTGCACTAGCGCGGAGAGGCCTGCAGCCTTGCATTAGAGGATTTGTACGGTATACGCATGCGCTAAGCATACGCCAAGGTCACAGGTGAACTTAAGGCGACAAAAAATAACATCACGTTGCGTAACTTGTCGACATTCTTAGTAGGCTCTCATTTATATTTTATGTCTTCCAAATACATTGCGTAAAATAAGATTCATTCATTCAGGCTTGGCAGTGGAAATATTAATAATTTTCATTTTCAATGAACTCACGCGCGCGGAAGTAAGAATCACACGAGAAATATCAATTAAATGAGTTTAAATTTTCAAAATATGTTTTCTTCAGACCCAAAAATATTAATGCAGGCAAAAAATGTTGAGAAAAGGTTGTAAAATATAATCTTCCGTATTGGTAAATAAGTAATAACTCAGTTATTTTATGGCTATCCTCGAATTATCACGAACATTATCACGGAATTTTGTTAAAAGACGCCACTGTAAATAACTTTATACCGTAGATATTAAGCACGCCCTTTAATAAATAATAACTATATAATGTTTACCCTGTACCAACACTCATTTTTGAGTAGTTTTTTCTTTCTTTTGAAGTTATGTCAAAGAAGCACTTAAGATAAATTAAAGCTGACAATCTTATATCACACTAACAGTTTCACTTATTTTCTTCAAAGATAACAAGCCAGCACTGAACTTCAAAAGAGATATATTAGGTCCCAGCGACCGAGCAGGAACATCTTTCCGAGGAGAGCAACAACGCAAACGTCCCGTCGCCGCCACTGCTCAGAGACTACAGAGACATGGAGGAGCCGTACAGCCAGGCATGGAGAAGCCGTACAAAGCCAGGCATGGAGGAGCCGTACAGCCAGGCATGGAGGAGCCGTGCAGCCAGGCATGGAGGAGCCGTACAGCCAGGCATGGAGGAGCCGTGCAGCACACCCCCACCACAAATCAGTCTAAATTAGGTGGCACAAGCGCTCGTGTCTCTTACCTTCGAATGGGATAAATTTTCTCCTGAACGATCAGTCCATTACTGCAAAAAATTAATTAACTAGCATAACTGCAAAAAATTAATTAATATGATGTTTTATCACGGTCAATTAATATAAGAATTTTTCAGTATTGGCTAAGCTATACTGAAATGGCCGAAAATCTTATAATAGCTTTTGAAATGAAAATAGCTTCCCTGCCAAATTTCATTATCACCCGCCATTTTTTTTATCGTCCTGAATACAGAGCTCGGCCAGAGAAAATTACAAGTTGCCAAAATCTTTTACGGTGTCCGAGCCTTTTTAGAGTAGCGAAGCTGATGCCTTCTGTCGTCCAGGGCCTACTTTCAACAGAAAGTAGGCCCTGAAAGTAGTAGGCCCTGTTTCAGGGCCTACTACTTTCAAAAAAAGTTACGAGATCGTAAGTTCATCATCCAATCATTGACGGCCTTTCAAGCAAAATCCACCAATCATAGGCTAGAAAATAGAGCGTAAGTAAACAGCCAGGCATGGAGGAGCCGCACAGCCAGGCATGGAGGAGCCGTACAGCCAGGCATGGAGGAACCGTAGGAAATTATATGGATACTCTGATAAATTATTTATGATGCACACGTCGCGAATCAGACCTTAATACAGATAGACATCATGCGCATGTGCAATTTTTTAGTACAAGAAGTAACCCAAATTAACTAGTTTTTTAATTTCCTTTTTTATTTGCCTATATTTATAGAGTATATGTATATACTGTCGCGATGATATGGGTGAGAGCAGAAAACATTCGCCGTCTGAATTTACGAGAGCAATGCCACGACATCCTCCTCTCACGCCTACTTCAAGGACACCGAACGCGCGTCGCATCGCGGAAATGTTCGTCCAGGGGTAATGTTTTATCGTCGCTCTGTGCTGCGCCTGTCTGCTTGAGGAAGCTTCTGCCTGTAGGCTTTTAATGAGGCTACTCAGGCAAAAATACATGCATATTTGTCCCAAACAAATACCAAGGATACTAAGGAAGGATATAATATCGCAGCTTCAGCGAGCGCTAGCCTGCGTCAGCGTGAACATTTTCAGTCTTGTTACGGGGCCAGTACCACTGGGCATAGCGTGAGTCTTTATAGTTTATACAATCCGCAATAACCCAGCCACGGTTCGTTAAACTTCTTGCAGATCAACACAGAGTCACCGACCGGAGAATAAAGACGATCAAATACGAAACTCTAATTCATTGTACAACGATAAGATAAGCTGAGTGTTCGTGAGTTGAAGTTAGGTCAAGACTTCGGAGATCTCTTTGTACGAGATAAAATAGTTACAGACGCTAAACATGGACAACATCTCACGGACGGCCGATGTCATATATTTGATTAAAAGAAGGATCAATATAAAATACATCCTCTATTAAAGTTGCATTTCCCTTCACTACAGTCGGCTTAAGAGGAGGTTGTACCAACACACGTGTCTCTTATAGACCTTCGGATCTGATCAATTTTCTACAAAAAAATCAGTCCAACGCTTGAGAATTCTGCCTTCGAAGAGGTGCGTCATAATTGCAAAAAATTATTTAATAGGATGTTTTTTCGTGGTTAATTGATATAAGAATTTTTCAGTATTGCTGAGCTAAACTGAAATTGTAGAAAAGGTTAAAATTAATAGCTTACCAGCCGAATTTAATTGTTTCCGGCCATTTTTCGATCGTCTTCAACACAGGGCTCGGCCAGAGCTAGTAACAAGTTGCTAAAAAAAGTCGCTATAAGCTCGGTGTCCGAGCTTTTTTAGAGTAGCGAAGCTGATGCCTTCTGTCGTTGTCATGGGACAGATGCTCTCAGACGCCGTCCCTGCTGCTCACCTCTCAGACGTCGTCCCTGCTGCTCACCTCTCAGACGCCGTCCCTGCTTATAATAATGCCCTGTAATGTACCTCACATCCCAGGATTGCTCCCGGTCGTCACGGCAACACGAGTTGGCGCGACCGTGTAAAGGCGGTCGCACAAGCTACGGAAGGAACTCCTGACGAGCTGCGCTAGTGTGACAGGACTTTTTCTACAACTTGTGTCACAGAGCAAACCATTCAAGGTAGAGGTTCCACCTCGCAACCCGAGAATTATTCATATATCTCCCTGAAGCTAGATTCGAATATTTCATGTTAGTGACTCATTCCTTTACAATCCGGTTCATGTGAAGCACTACCACCTCAATGCAAAACTAATCTAATACCACCACATGATCCCAACAGAGGTTGGCGAGTTTCGATCAAAGACGGCCAGGGTTATATTTTATTGTGGATCGGCCAACAATGCTCTGCAATATTTATTTATATAAGGTACTTCAATTAGAGAATGATTTTAAATTAATATAATTTGGATGATTGAACAACGATCACTTTTGAGTGAAATGCATGTATCTATCCCTGCCACCTCTATGCAATATGGCAGGATCCATCAATTTTACCCCACTAGTTGGCCGTTAACGCATCACTAATTTCCTATTCAAGAACTCCACAGCAGCTCAGCCGAAGAGTAAGTGAACGCTTCATTGACAACGCGTTCAACTTTACCACTAAAAATATTGGTTGAATGTTCAGCGTATGAAAATATTCTAGCAGCGATTTTTTATAATTTGAAACACGCTTCCACATGGTCCTAACGTTTCACCTTTATATTGAAACGTGCATTAATTCCAATTTATCTGCATTGTTTTCTAATGCCCTTATTTTCAGCGAATTATGCGAGATCAAATGCAAGTGACACAGTATATGGGAGGCTAAAATGTTGTATAATGGTACGCAGTGGCGCATGAGGACACGCTTTGACTTACAGACTGCATTGCTAAAAGTTAGAGGACCGCAGGTGACACAAGACTGCCCATGAAGGAGGGGTGTGACAGGATCAAAGCTCTGCAGTATAAACTTTCACGAAAATTCCAGGCGCCTCATTTACACTTTACACACAGAATCGCCCCCTGAACCGAACGCATCAATTTGCTTCTGTGTCGATGCCTCAAAAACTACCGACATTTCCATCCTGCATCTAATTTAGTTGGTAAATTATCCCTAAGCTGAATAAAATGGACCACCATGCTATCAACAACATTCTTTTATATTTAGGAACTGAATTAGAGAACTCATCACTGAACGTTAATCGTCAACTCAGCATCTTTTAGCTCAACTCACGGACGAACCTCCCTCATTCTCCGGCGTTGCAAGACAAGAGCTCAGCCGAATGGTTCTATAAAGCTACGTCATATGCGTGGAGTGTTAGCAGTCAAGCCTTACGTCCAGACTGAGTGCCGTCAAGTCTTACGTACAGACTGGGAGCAGTCAAGTCTTACGACCAGACTGAGAGCCGTCAAGTCTTACGTACACTGTCGAATGCTTTGGCAAAATCGAGGTACAATGCATCCACTGGCTCCCTTTCGTCCAGCAGGCGAGTCCAATCGTTCAACGTAGATAATAAGATAAGTACTTCTTATATAATATAATAATAAGTACTTCTTTCTCAAGTCTTAGGTCCAAACTGGAAGCAGTCAAGTTATGCGCGTGGAAGTGTGACCATTGCTGTCACGGATGACGAAATTGCACCGTGTAAATATTTTACCAAACGGTACATCTCATCGAACTAAAAACACGTTTTCAGCGTGCAATGCATTGGATAGAAAAGGATGTCAATATTGTTTGTAACAAAGAAGCCCATTAAAATGCATCTCAGGCTACCAATCAAGGTTAATTTCTTGCTCTGCAGGTTAGCTGCTCTTGTCGCATTGCATATCACTAAATGATTACTGATAATGTTGTCATGTCAAGAAAGACTCGCCGGAGTTAATGTCATTGTCGACAATTAGCCACTAAATTCGACGCCGGTAAGGGGATGAAAAGTAAACGATACAAGTTGGCTAAAAAAAGCATGTCGCGTTTATTGAAACACAAGTTAAGGACCAGCATTAAAATTTGGAAATGAATTCCCAAGGATAATGTCGAGAGTATGACTATACTTCAAGTATAAATTATCTAAACTATATCTGAACTTAGTTAATTACAGCGTAAACTAATTCAGAGATTGCATCAGAAGGTTCTTCTCACGTGCCAGTCAGCAGACTCTTCTCTGTTAGGCATTAGACTCACTAAATAAAGTTGCAAGTGGCTGAATGGTTTTATGATTACAATAATAATAATTTTAATAAAGTACCAAGTGTTAGCTGAATAGTGTTTACAATAATAATAATTATAAATAAGTAGCAAGTGCGGACTGAATAGTTTTATAATAAATTTTTATCTATAACAAAAGCTTAAACAACCAAATAATCGAAAATTATTCCATGCAGTTCATAATGTTCTAATGATGAATGTGAATACATTAGCTTATTCACCTGGTTATATCTAACAACAAGCGATAAGGTCGCAATCAATCAGAAACCGTAGTGACGCGAGGGCTGCGAGAATGCATGGTTAAGATCGTAACGAAAACCACGACATCGATACACTATATCAGTTTATACTGGGTGGCTATGAATATTATTAATACTGTTGTTTGTTGATACTATGAATATTGCAAGTGTTGACAACTCAGTGGAAAAGATTTGCATATAAATTACTCTGGGAGTGATCATAAAGCAACGAGTTATCGGTAGTAAGCTTAATTTAAATTGTAATCCTAGAGCACCAAAGGCTCTCTCATATCTGTTCAGATTGAGAGTTTAGACGGAAATTCTTCAAATTGATCAGATCTTCAGGTACTACAATCGAGTATTGATACTTGAAGTATATAGTTAAGATTTACATCACTATTAATAACTCAGACTGAAACTAAGTTTCGGTTTCGCAAATTTCTGCTCGTAACGGTGAGCATTTTTCAAAATTTTATTTGACAATTCCTCTATCATACATTAACTATTAATTTACAGGCTAATGACCGATGAGTCATATGTACTTTTACAAAAATAACTATTCCCAAACACCCTTACTTAATTAAATTTTCCTCTCTAATGAGCATGGCAGTTCTCAACCAGGCATGCTTCGATTCATGTCTTCTTTGCCTGGTCTTGCAAACTTGAGAAACTTTCACTATATTAAGACTGGCAAGACTTGCTTTAACATGTCATTTGCCTAGTCCTGCAGACATGAGAAACTTCCACTATATGAAGACTGACAAGACTTGCTTTAACATGTTCTTTGCCTATAATCTTGCAGACTCGCGAAACTTCCACTATATAAAGACTGGCAAGACTGGCTTTAACATGTTATTTGCCTGGTGTTGCAGACTTGGGAAACTTCCACTATATAAAGACTGACAAGACTGGCTTTAACATGTTATTTGCCTGGTCTTGCAGACTTGGGAAACTTCCACTATATAAAGACTGACAAGACTTGCTTTAACCTGCTCTTTCTCTGGTCTTGCAAACTTCCAGTACATAAAGACTGGCAAGACTTGCTTTAACACGTCATTTGCCTGGTCTTACAGACTTGAGAGACTACAGCGCTAGCGTTACTCAGAGTTCGCCCTGGTTGTCGGTGACGTTGTAGGCGACCTACATAAAGACCGGCAAGACTTGCTTTAACATGTTCTTCGCCTAGTCTTACAGACGTGAGAGACTACAACCCTAACGTTTGCTCAGAGTTCGCCCTGGTTGTCGGTGACGTTGTAGGCGACCCAGTCGCGCGCGATGGGGGCGCTCAGCATAGAGTCCGGGATGGCGAAGGCCTCGGTGAGCGGCAGCGCTTGAGCTGACAGCTCGGCGCACAGAGACCGAGACCCCTCCACCAACTGCAGCAATAATACCAATAAAGTTAATCATAAATTGTAGTACTTTTACAAATAAATGATTTTTAATACTTTTATTTATAGTCAAAATTGTGATAATTTGTAATACCAAAATTTAAATATTATGTCAAAATTGTAATACCAATATAGTCAAAATTGTCGTACCAATATAGTAAAAATTGTAATACTTTTAAATTTAAATGACAAGTTAATGTCTAATAAAGTTCGCGAGAAAGTATTCATTTATTGGACAATCGGCTGCTGATAGGGCCACCATGAAATGGCCCATACAATATTAGTTCTTGTTGCCGCAGATAATTTCGGTGAGAGCGCAGGTATGAGGCACGAATTTAACAATAACAAGCCAGCCATGAAATTATAATGTTAACTACAATCCAGACCAAAGAGCTGTCACACTGACCTGCTGGTACTGCTCTGCACTGAGCAGTCCGCTGCAGAGGAAGAAGGCAGGGTCCTGCTCGAGGAAGTTGATGGCGTAGAGGCGGTAGAGCTGAGGCAGTACCGCCGCTAGAGACGGTTCACTTTTCTGCGTCACTGAGAAGAACTGCGAGACGCAATGAACTTCTTACTATTGGGTTAAATATTTTTTATTTCTTGTCTCTTTAGGAAACTCAAATATCGGTTTTATTTGTTGTCTCTTTAGGAAACTCAAATATCGGTTAGGTTCGCGAGGGTTCACTTTTCTGCGTCACTGAGAAGAACTGCGAGACGCAATGAGCTTCTTACTATTGGGTTAAATATTTTTTTATTTGTTCTCTCTTTGGGAAACTCAAACTAAGGTTAGGTTCAAAAGTCTGGTATGTGGCCAGAGAAATAATTTCTCCGACAGATGTTAATCGAATTTTTTCCCGCAAATAGATACAACAGTCCAACTCATATAGACCCAAAACATAACCACGAGCTCGTTCCCTACTCAGTTACTGGATATGTTAACGTATTTATACAGTAGCCTGCAGAGCTGACCTGCTCAGCGACGGTTACCTACTCAGTTACTGGATAAGTTAACGTATTTATACAGTAGCCTGCAGAGCTGACCTGCTCAGCGACGGTTACCAACTCAGTTACTGGATATGTTAACGTATTTATACAGTAGCCTGCAGGGCTGACCTGCTCAGCGACGGTTACCTACTCAGTTACTGGATAAGTTAACGTATTTATACAGTAGCCTGCAGAGCTGACCTGCTCAGCGACGGTTACCAACTCAGTTACTGGATATGTTAACGTATTTATACAGTAGCCTGCAGGGCTGACCTGCTCAGCGACGGTTACCAACTCAGTTACTGGATAAGTTAGCGTATTTATACATTAGCCTGCAGGCTGACCTGCTCAGCGACGGTTACCAACTCAGTTACTGGATAAGTTAGCGTATTTATACATTAGCCTGCAGGGCTGACCTGCTCAGCGACGAGGCGCTCAGCGTAGGCCCTGGCAGCGGCCTGCACGAGGTCGCTCTCCCGCAGCATCCACGTCTCGAAGACGCCGCTCTTGCCCGCTGCTGCCATCTTCTTGCCAAGCTCCTGATGGAGGGATATTTTTATAATTTTAGATACTTTATTTTATTTTAATATTTTAAAACTTCTTGCCAAGCTCATGATGGGGCGGGATATTTTTATAATTTTTAATATTTTATATAATTTTTTATTTTATTTTAATATTTTAAAACTTCTTGCCAAGCTGCCAAGCTCCTGGCGGCATGGCGGGGCAAACGAACGTTAAAGCTCTATAGAGACAAGCGTGCTTATAAGCCATCAATGGTCGACAGAAGTATTTCAAAGTCAAGCAAGGAATTATAAAATATACTATTAATATATTTATTATTATCATAGTATACTATTATGGGAATTATTATAAGCCATCAATGGTCGACAGAAGTATTTCAAAGTCAAGCAAGCAATTATATAATATAACATTAATATATTTATTGTCATCGTACTATACTATTATAGTTATTATTATATACTATTTCAGTTAATTGATGGTAATCAAGGGATAAAGGATGAGGCTTATCCAAAAATAATGTATCTAGGAAAGAACAATTGTTCATCGGGTTAACGAAGTCATGCGATCAGCTGAGATCTTCAATATCAGAGGCTCTCACTGGTAAAGTCAGTAAGTGGAGTAAACCAATAATATTAGGTAGACTTCAGTAAATCCGAAACGCCATCAGGTGGCACGTAGACACTTCAACTTTTTTCAGCAAAAATTGACACAATTATTTATTAATGAAGATTTTCAGCTGAGTAGAGATCTATTTTAAAGACTAAAAAGTTGTGAATTTATAGTAAATATAGTTGCGCTTAAGTTTTTATTGCGCAAGACTAAAAATTTGCGCTTTTATAGTAACTATAGTTGTACGTAAGTTTATACGGCGTCTCAGGAAGAGCTAGGTTACCATAATCATGATAATATCCATGATGATATCCTAATCCATAATAATCACGCCGCTCTACAGACTATTGGTACAACTGCCTCATGATTAAAGTTGTGCGTTTACGGTACGTAAATATACCAGTTGTACGTAAGTTGATATCGCATCTCAGGGCAGACCATGGGCTAATCCATAATAATCATGCCGCTCTACAGGCATGATAATTCCATTATCCGTTGGCACAATTGCCTAGGAAGGTCGTACCGTGAAGAGTTTGTTTAACGCTCTACAGACAGACATGAACGCTCTACAGACAGACATGAACGCTCTACAGACTGAATACTGAACGCTCTACAGACATGAACGCTCTACAGACATGATTATTCCATTATCCATTGGCACAATTGCCTAGGAAGACCGTACCGTGAAGAGTTTGTTTAACGCTCTACAGACAGACATGAAGGCTCTATAGACTGAATACTGAACGCTCTACAGACATGATAATTCCATTATCCATTGGCACAATTGCCTAGGAAGACCGTACCGTGAAGAGTTTGTTCTCGCGCTGTGCGAGGAGGTCCAACAGACCGCATCCCGTGTCCGTGGCCGCCGGTCTGAACGCGGCCAGTCGCTCCTTGGCCACCTTCTGCATGAGGACCGAGCTGTCGCCCTCAGCGGTCACGCCCGCGTGGGCCAGCCCGATGAACGTGCCAAATCTGAGGGGAGATCAAGATAAGATAATGAGAATAATATGTTTGCATTATAATATATATTATACAGCGAATTATGCAAGTATATGTATTATACATATAGATATGTGTAATACATATATGTATATGTATTATACATATGATATGAATATGTATTATACATATACATATTATATAATATGTATATGTGATATATCATATATAATATACATTTATTCTAAAAATATATTATAATAAATTATAAGATGCTATAATAAGAACTTTGCAAGCAAAACGCCCGCCTTAATTCGCCAAGACTGATTTGCATATTATTGTGGTTCACGATCAAGAATTAAAATGGGAGGAGAAGCGAGAATGTCGCAGTGCGTATTAATTAAGTGAGGCGCAGAATGCTCATTCAAATTCAATCTCTTCAGATCGGAAATAAGATTTTGCAATACAATATTGAAATTAGAAGCAACAAATGATTAAAAGCCAGTCGCCAAGAATGATTGCTTAGTGAGATATGACACTTGATCCATTTATTTATAGAATGTAGGCATACAAAAACTTGCCTATATGGAGATACTCGAGGTCACGCAGAAGTTCGTCTTTCCTTCAATTTTATCATGAAAATTTTAAATGGAAATTAATTAATTAGCAACAAAGAGCGGACACGTATTAGACATCGGATGCATTGCAGCATGTAAAAAAGTCTGGTGGAATTTAATTCAATTAGTTTATTTTTCATTAATTTTTAATATTCTCCCCTTCTGGCCGGTCTCAAGTCAAACCTAAAGAAGAATAATTGATGAAAAATCTCCAGATTTTCCTCCACTATTCTTACCGCAGGAAGCTCTCACTCTCTGGAACTTACATTCTACTGGTCTACCGCCACAGCAGCTAAGTAGATCTGGCCGCAGCCATGTTCTCATCCGTACTGGTCTTCATGGTGGCTCGACGAGAGAATTTTTTACTTACCTGAAGCTTTGACGTACGTTCTTTCATGGTTGAACTATATAAGGTTGAACAGTTCTCCCATGGTTGAACTATACAAGATTGACCCACGAGAAGTTCCGTCTTTCAGTTCAGCTCTCTTGTTACGTCACTGAGATCGAGAAACGTAAACAATCCCGTCATTCCCATGACGGATTGGTTGACTGGTTTGATCGCATTTCGGTGATTGGTTAATGCCCATGACGTCACTGAGATTGGTGACGTCGTCACAGGCGAACAACAAACTACATCCGCAAAAATTAGCTTCTCATGGGTCAACCGGTCAACCTTATTCTAGTTCAACCATGGGTTATCCTGCGCCACAGCTGCGGCATGAGGTTGTGATCCCCCGCACCAAGTCCGGGAGACGTCAGATGTATGGCTTGTTTCTGGCCAGAGATTTGCTAGCCTCGTTCCCAGCCAAATTTTTAATCTGGAACATCCTTCAGGACTGAACCGTTTATTATTCTTGAATTCCACCGATTTTTTCCTTTTACTGTTGTTTACTTGATATCATTATTCTAAGATTTCTATGATAATTGATATTGCATTTTAAGTTTGGTTTGCCTGCAGGTTGGATGTTTGAGATGCCATGGATGAGCGAGCCAGCCATGATATTCTCCTTACATTGATCCCATGCCCCTAAGGGGATCAGGCGAGTCCCTTCTTATAACGCTCCTCCTCAAATGAAGCAGAGGGAGGAGGGATTCTCCTTGGAGCTTGAAATAAAGTATGTTCAGGTTTTTCGTAGTTAATCCTTTCGTATTTTCCTCGAACGTTGATTTAGTATGGGAATTTACTATAGGCGGAGATTCGCAGTGTCATCTTCATTATGAATTCAATTCAGCTTTTTCTAAACAGCACGACCAATTTTGGATGCTGCATTGGTACAGAAATATTTACTGAAAGTAGTTCACATTGATGAGAGGCCGTCACCTCAGAAGGGCAAACTGGCCACCACGCACCTGTTGCAGGAGAGGAAGCCCTGGCCACCACGCACCTGTTGCAGGAGAGGAAGCCCTGGCCGCCGCTGCGTTCCCTGCAGACGGTGGCAGTGCGCTCGAGGTGCCACGCCGCCAGAGGTTTGATGGCACAGCACTTCGTGACCACAGACGCGTGCTCGCTGCCGTCGCTAGGCTGCTCCGCCCAACACCGCTGACCGGCAGGGGTGGTAATGGTGGTTAATAGATTTAATGGTGGGTAATACATTTATGGTCTGATCCTCAACAACTGATGTTGGGAAATTAATGGCATTGTTCTGAACTTTTTTGTTGAATATTCGATGTATCAACTCTATAATTAAAAGTTGTTGAGAAAAATTCGGCACGGGCAACATAATATGAAGCTGCAATACCAAGAAGCGGGACCTCATATTAGACCTCAGTCTATTCTATTATAGAATACTTTCAATGAATTATATTTCTCTTTGCCGTCTTGATTCTTATACTCGAACTGAGCTCCTAACAAGTTCCCTTTACGCTGCCAATATCAATTTATACACATACGTACTGTATCATAATGGCGCTGAGATAAACTTGTTATTCAAACCCTATAAATCACTTTCTCTCTCTCTCTAATCAGCAAATGATATTCGTGTTGCTAAGTATTCGAGAACGAGTGATGACTTGCCCCATACTAGACCATCACTTGCCCCCACACATCACCTTATGACCTTATGATGAGTTCGGGACTTCCTTGTCCCCGGTCTAGCTGATGCTCCGCCTCCGTCTCCGAGACGTCGCTAGGCAGGTCACCCCGCCCTCGGGTCCCGGATGTAACGTTGGACGTGTTCCGTCTATTTGCCCTCCTTTGGGCCAGCTGATGCAAGATGCTGTTGCTTGTTACTTGCTGAGGGTAGTTTCCCATTACTGGACAGTCTGGGATCTTTCTCAACCACTTGTCCAGTTGTCTCTTGAATGTTGCAAGGGTAAACTCCCCTCCTCTCAGCGCTTTTGGCAAGGCATTAAAGAGCCTCGGTCCTACCACGGACAGTGATCCCTCACGGAGAGTCTGTACTCTGGCCGCGGCTTAGTTATTAAATGGGGGAATCCTGCACAGTCTCCCGCTCCTCTCGTTGTAATATGTCACTATTTTGGAGATCTCACTTACAAAGTTGGGAGCCAGTCCGGTTCATCTTCCAAGTGTACAGTATGATATGCCTTTCTCTTCTGTTCTCCAATGAGTACACTCAGTACAGTCCCAGTTGTTTCAGCTTTTCCCAGTAGTTCAGGTACAGCTCCCTCATGCCGCTGATCCTGTACGTGAAGGTCCGCTGCACTGCCTCCAGTTTTCGCACCGCACCCGCCTTGAGTGACGACCAAAGCTGGCAGCAATACTCAAGATTGGGGAGCACGAGGGCTCTGAAGAGTCTAATCATTGGTGCTGCTTCTCTCGTTCGAAATGTCCGCCATATCCACCCCATTCGTTGCCGGCTGCGCGCGACTATTTCCTCGAAATGGGCATCGAACATGGCTTCAGTACTCATCAATACTCCGAGATCTCGAACTAGTTGCTTCACCTCAATTTCTGTGCCATCTGATGCCAAGTAGCGATGTGGCATCCCGATCTCTGCGCGGTCTCTGTATCTCATTACTTCGAACTTGGTGCCGTTGAACTGCATATTGTTCACTAGGGCCCAATCGGAGATTGTCGACAAATCATCCGGTAACCTCTCGCAGTCTAGGTACTGGTTCCACATTAGACCCTTGACTTGTCGTCCCACATTAGACCCCCTGACTTGTCCCGCACTAGACCCCCTGACTTGTCCCACAAAAGACCCCCTGACTTGTCCCGCACTAGACCCCCTGACTTGTCCCGCACTAGACACCCTGACTTGTCCCGCACTAGACACCCTGACTTGTCCCACAAAAGACCCCCAACTTGTCCCGCACTAGACCCCCTTGACGTGTCCCACAAAAGACCCCCTGACTTGTCCCACAAAGACCCCCTGACTTGTGGGACAAGTCAGGGGGTCTTTTGTTGGGTCTTATCCCAGACCCCCTGACTAGGCCTCCCTGCAATGCTATTCATTGCAGCAGAAGCAGACATGCTGTGCTATTTATTGTACTAAATGCAAACATTGCACTTAATGCGGCAAGACTGCGCACTCGTGCCTTACCTTGACGTAGTCCAGGCCGATGTTGATGGCGTAGGTGCGGGCGGCAAGACTGCGCACTCGTGCCCTACCTTGACGTAGTCCACACCGATGTTGATGGCGTAGGTGCGGGCGGCAAGACTGCGCACTCATGCCCTACCTTGACGTAGTCCAGGCCGATGTTGATGGCGTAGGTGCGGGCGAGGAGCGGCAGGAGGGCGCGCTGCTGCAACTGGTACTGCAGGATCGCGGTGTCCGAGCGGCCGGTCGCCCCTGCAAATAGCTATAGTTATATGAGACCGTCCAGTCCACACGAGACCGTCCCGTCCACACGAGACCGTCACGTCCACACGAGACCTTCACGTTCACACGAGACCGTCCCGTCCACACGAGACTACCTGTACTCTTCACTCACAAAACTATACCTTTAGTCTATCGACGCCTACTGAAGTGTTATCAAGACATTGGAGACGAATAACATTGACGGCCAGGATCAGCAGTGGACAGAGGACCCAGCAGAAGTGACAAACTGATTTCATTCAGTGTGATAAGTAAGGCTTATGACAAGTTGGGCTGATCAATTTAGTAGGGCAAGAATTTAGATGTCTTTCTCTTGGAAAGGAAGCATGGCTAAGGTATTACTATACACGTTCAAGAATACACGTTTCAAAGGAAATACGTTAGTACACGTTTATAAAACAAATTAGTACACGTTTACATAGATAATACACGTTTCAAGATCCTATGATCTTTGTTGAGCGTTTCATTTGGACATTTACTATATTTAGATGGAAGCAACCATGCCGTTATTTGTCTTCTCAACCGATTTTTTTATGTTATAATTAAGTGGACTGAAAATTTTAGAACTTCCCGAACATCTTCTTGATGCAACTGCATGAGGTTTCGAGAAGCAACGTTCACAAACAGGTAACAAGAAATTAAATTTGCCAGCGTCGAGTTGTAGGGTTAGACTCCACAGTTTATCTCGCAGAATATTCGTGTTAAAAGGATTCTATTTGCCGATGACGAAAGCCACTTCGAATAAATTTACACACATAAAACTTTTGATCACAACTACGTAATCGGAAAAGAATGTGTTAGAAGATCAAAGAAATTTTAGCTGCACACTCGAGCAAAGTCAGAAAATACGTCAAATTTGATAATATTAAATAATTTTGACATCTGGAAAGAACACATCGAACTGAGTTGGAAACATTTGCAGGTTACATACGAGAAAATACATCGAATATAATTGTAGCAAAATAAATATTAATATAAAAGGGTGATTTATTCGAAAGTAATGGCTCAGGAAGAAGCTTAGAAAGTAATGGCTCATGAAGAAGTTAAGAAAGTAATGACTCAGGATGAAGTTTAGAAAGTAATAGTGTGCAGAAAGGAAGAAAATGTAGTAAAAGTAATAGTGTGCAGAAAGGAAGAAAGGAAGTGTGCAGAAACGTACCGACAGTGAGCCTGGTGGCGGCGTAGCGGACGGCGATGGCGAGGCAGGCTTTGCTGCCGCCCACCGCCATGCTCGAGATGCAGATGCGGCCCGACAGCAGCTGGTCCGCCACGCTCAGGAAGCGACCGCGGGCGCTGTGATAATCTCAATTCAAATATACAGTTCAAAGTATCGCACTTCTAGCCAGCATTAAGTCAATATAAGAGCTAAATTATTTATAAGGTAACTCCATTTTAATTCGTAACTTCATTTAAGAAACGATTTTAATAAACAAGATGGAACAGAAACAAGATTCCATGCAATGCGGCGCCAATATTCAAGTTGGTTTTTCTGTACCACAGATTATTTTCCACCGCTATCACGAAGGCAAATCCCATTAGAAATGAACGAAAATAAACTACGTCATTTTTAATGCATTTTTTGAAGTCAGCGACAAACTGAACGCAAATGAAATGTCCTCGACTCTGCCGAAGAAAAATGATAGGAGCCGCGGTTCAAGTGGAGGTCTAATGTACAGACGCTACGTTTTGATCTGCGCGGTCTGAAGACGGAATGAAAAGGTTGCAATTTTTAGAGCGTCCTAACGGTGCAGAGATATCTGTATATTTCGCTCGGTTTTGTGTGATATCATCATGGAGGAGATGCCAAGAATATTATTACAGCGATCTACAGCGTGGAACAAGAGGCCAGATTTTGAATTAATAAGGCTATCGTGGTAAGAGATCAATTCAGAGAGTACCTCAACAATCAAAGGTAAATCCTCGGTGAGATAAATTTATACCTTTTATCAATTAATGTTGTAATTAAATAAATTAATAAGGTGATTACATATAGGAAATTACTTTTTCTTAACTCTTCTGGTGGTTCGTTAACTGCAGACTTTCATTTTCGTCCATGCTATTTCTATACTCGCTTAGTGTCTCCTTATAATCTATAAATGTAGTAACAAATCAAAATACCAGAAAGATGGCTAGTAAATTTTGCTTTCTCTGGCCCCAGATCGAATCGATGCAGTAATTGTAATTTTTGTCTATTCTTCACGGAAAACTCTTCTCTAGGAATCGACTTTTTTGCAACTACTTCACTATATACCGTTGCATTTATTTCTTTAAAAATGGAAACTAAACTCTCATAAGCCTCCCCCTTTTTATCCTTGTCACTGCACTCCTTAGATTTGACACGCCAAATGCATGGGGAAATTTCATATAATGCAATAAGATCGGTAAGAAACTCCCGAAAACATTGCCGAAGGTCAGCCATTGTCGCCTGACGAATGTCAGCCATTGTTGCATCTGGACCGACGCTTGTTCACCATGACCAAAAAATATAACTCAGTACTCACTGCAGTGAGTGACAGAGCGCATTTTCTCGTCGACGAAAACTTGAGGTCACGGACGGACGGACAGACGGACGGACAGACAGACAGACGGACATGGCGAGCACAATAGTGCATTTTTTCCATAAATGAGAAAATGCACTAAAAATATGGTTAAGTAACCTTAATTTCGCAAGTTAGTCAATTAAAATACTAGCAAAATAATCCTATCATGAATCAAGTATGGCTTAAATTGAAGTTTCTGCGGTAATTACAGGCGGTGCTGACCTCTTGATTTGAGAATGGAACTGGCCGTCCTCGGTGATGTCGGAGTATCTGTTGAGGAGGTTGGTGCGAGGCACCCGCACGTTGTCGAAGAATAGCTTGGCGTTGTCGACGCCGTTGAGGCCCATCTTGTGCCCCATGTCCTCCACGCGCACACCAGCCATCACCTGCGTACAACAGCAGACATTCTCATGTCAGCAGACATTCTCATGTCAGCACATTCTCATGTCAGCACATTCTCATGTCAGTAGACATTCTCATTGACAATTCTAAACTTTAGTTTATTCAAACACAGCAAAAGAGCAAGAGAAGTGTTCACAATAGGAATGCTAGCAGAAGCTAAGTCTTTGTGTATCATAGGCCAGGCAATTGACACTAAATATCAAACAGCATGTTGAAGCCAATTATATTTGTTAGAGTGAGACACAGGATATTGACTATTCGAATGAGCAGCAATGGGAGGAAAAAAATCATAGAAATGAATCATAAAGACACGCGCTGCCAGAAGTATCTCACGTACGCGTAATTGGTTGTCCCTGATGGGCACGAGGACCGCGTGGATGCCGCGTTCCTCGCCGCCGACGCGCAGTTGAGCAAACACGACCACGTGCTTCGCGTGCACCGCGCCGTTGGTGATCCAGTACTTCTGGGCCAGAGTGCTAGGCGTGTTCACAATCAGCTCGTCTGGCGGCAACGAACGAACGACTCGTGTATTAAAGATGCAAGACACACGGATATAAATGAACTGCATTTTAAACAATATTCCGCGTCGAACAAGCAAGTCCAAGAGGTGGCAAACAAGCATAAGTCCAATTTAGGCGGCCAATAGAAAATTAGGACACAGTCGTGGAATCCCCACTTGTGGACAAGTCGTACACGGCAGCGATACCCACCTGTTGACGGGTCGTACACGGCCGTGATCCCCCCCTGTAGACGGGTCGTACACGGCCGTGGTACCCACCTGTAGACGGGTTGTACACGGCCGTGGTACCCACCTGTAGACGGGTCGTATACGGACCTGTTGACGGGTCGTACACAGCCGTGGTCTCCATCTCGACGGCGTTGTTGCCGTAGCCAAGCTCGGTGAGGCCAAAGCAGCCGACGTCGTCGAGGGAGTCGATGCCGGGCAGGAGAAGCGCGTGATGGCGCTCCGTGCCGAGCTTCAGCACCGTCCCACCAAACAGGTTGAACTGCGCCGCAGTGGTTGGTTAGGTACAGGTTGAACTGCGCCGCAGTGGTTGGTTAGGTACAGGTTGAACTGCGCGCGGCACAGAAAGGTTAGGTACTTATAGATTAAACTGTACGCGTCAGGGATAGGATATAAAGGTAGAACTGCGCGTGGCTGGGGCAGGTTAGGCACAGGTTAAACTGCGGCGGCAGGGGTTGATTAGGTACGGGAGGTTACGCGGCAAGGCCCAGTCTAAAATCTTGGCTGCGGCGCGCCTATAAGTACCGGCGTGGAGAGCGACAATAAGCGAGGAGCGGCAGATTTATCGATTCTCCCAAATCTCGGCGATATTGCTCTCGTGCGCTGGGATGAGACTTATGAGCCACACCGTGAGCATCGGCGAGTATAGTAATGTACACGATTATAACATGCAATGGTAATGAATTTTATAATATTGAATGTACCAAAGAAATAGTTGTGCTTTCAATTTTAATTATATATATGGCTAAGTTGCACTGTAATGCATCACACTACCGACTTCCAGTGAGACTGTAGCAAATTATAAGAATGTGCGGTTTGTAGGCATACAGTCACACACTAGACGTGAACGGACTACGCAAAGATATTCTATGCAAGACACTCTGCCACTGCCTGCTTACTCACTTCCAGTTCAACTGAGTTTATGGTTAAAATGGTGAACACAGGATATTTTTAAAAATATTCCACCATCGTAAGTGAAATGTCGAATGTTCCAAAACAGTTTGAGTAATTTGACATTCAAAAATACAGAATGCCGTTTGTGAATTAAAACTTACTAAATAAAATTGCAATACTCGACATGAATTTTCTGTTTATTTCTGAACTTATGTTTGATACTGTGATGATGCATAGTATGTTATTTTTTTGTAATTCGGACAAGATGAGGATCAAAGCCATATGTAAGATTGTGTACGGCTAATAGATAATCTGAATTCATTCCTATTTGAATAGTCTAACAATAGTCTATTCATCCTTCATATTCCCAGCAAATGGTCAATGAAAAAGGTAATCCAACTTTAAATGGACAAACAATAAATTGGCTTTGTTTTTGCCATGAGTTTTGCTTCTCACATACTCGTACACATTTAAAGTTTTTACTCATTGGTGATGGTTCATCATTCAAAATGCGTTGAAGCAAACTTACAGAGAACACTAATACTTCTGACAGCTCCATGATAGTTAGAATGAATGACATCGAGCAGTGATTTGGGATTGCTTTTTTGTCACACACTTGATTATCTGAATATTTCAGATAATCAAGTGTCAGTCCATCAGTGCTGAAATATAAATAATTGCCGCACGTCTTTCAGTGCTGAGATAAAGCCCTCATCTTCGTGGCTAATTACGCGTAGACCCCAACACAACGAGAGGGGGTGAAAAGGAAACTACTCCCGAACTTCGATCAACCAGGTGTGTGACGAATTAGATTAAATCATGCAATTCCTTGCCTCATTTTTACAATAATGGTTTTTTGTTTATCCGCATGTGAAGGAAGGAAGAAGAAGAAAGGCCAGCTTGACGTTGCAATAAAAAACTCCATCATGGTAGGTATGCTTACTTGAACAATTGGCAAGAGAGCATTTCAAATCATTTAAAACTAGCTAAATTTTAAGACCCCAAACTTTTTCTATACATAAATATAGACGGAATTCCATTATATCAAGATACAAGAAATTTCCATGCATATCCAATTTTATTGGAATTATGCATCCCCGAGGAACCAAAAATAATTTGTGTGGGAGTGTACCTTTGAGAGCGTGGAGATTCAAATATAATGTCTGATGTTGATGATTATCTTGAAGATTTTGTTCAAGAAATGTCGCAAATGCTTTGTATAGGGTTGACAATGGGTATAACGCATATTAAAGTCTGCATAAAAGCCTTTGTTTGCGACGCTCCTGCTCGTTCTGTGCTGAAGAAAATTGTTAATCATAACTCCTACCCAGTTAAAATTTAGGGCAGGGAATAGAGCAGGCCGTCGCCGGCTGCAGAGCCGGCGTAGAGACGCGACAGAGCAGCGATAGAGCAGAATATCGTGCTATGCGAATGAACTAGATGGAGGATGAAGTTCATTCTCTCGTCACTGTTTCCAACCCCTACCCCTCCTCCCTCTCTCAAAACCCCTCCATACACGGCCTGCTTGCTGCTCTGCACAGCTCCCTGCCGGACAATCCCAAGTATCAGCGCTAAAACAGCGCAGAGTTCCGGCCCTGCCGAGCTACTAGAATTTTGTCTCTGTATCTGCCATGGCGCAGCGCAGTTTTAGGGATAGATGGCCGGTTATTGTTTCACGGCTCCATCCTGCTAAAGCGCGACCAGCCCGGCTAAACCCGGCGCCGGTCTCGGCTCAAAATTCTAACTGGGTATGCAGACAGTGAACGAGTGTCCAAAAAGGTTCCTACGCAGTAAGTCATGCAGTCCTCAATAGAATGAGTGCTCCCTTGAGAAGTGATAGGGAATTTGAGGCTCAAGTTCCGGCTCACCACACGAAAGGGCTTAAATCTATCTCCAAAGACTCGTTATTGGAATGGTTCCAAACTTTCCTCTTAACTACATGCATCTAACTTGCCTAGGAGTTATGAAAAGAATGCTCTGCAGGTTAAAGCACTCAAAAAAATAAGAGTAATGCAATCTTGACAACACCAAGCAAAAAATTCGGGATGAAATAGATGCATTTTAATCTCATATGTATTTTCAGATTTCAACAGGAAGCTAGCTAGTGGATTTGGATCACTGGCCTACTGGAAAAGTACTGAAATACGTTTGTTTATGTTGTATGCAGGCATTGTGGTACTCTCAGGAATTATTTTCGAATCTTTTTATCTAAATTTTTTGTATTTCAGTCTCGCCACGAGGATTTTACCAAGTACAAATCAAACGTCAAGTGTTGAAAATGCTCGTGATCTGCTAAAAAAAGTGTGTTTCTGGGTTCCAAAGAATTATATGGCTCGAGTTTCTTGTCGCTTGTAACGTGCCCTCGAAGTTCGATGTGAACAAGACGCCACGACAATCTCTTCGTGGTATAATAATAATAATAATAATAATAATCTAGACTACCTAATACATCTTCCGGATGATTATGTGAAGTATGGTTCCCTAGACAGTGTCCTGTTTCCCATCTGAGAATAACTTAAGTGTCGCTGTAAAAATATGGTTGTCTGGACCATTAGAACAAATAGGTAAGCACCTCAGCGTGGAAAACAAAAAAATTTCAAGTGTACAGTCTGCAGTTAAAATGGGCAGAACTAATAAATGTACCTGGGTAAATGGTTCACTCGTGTGAAAAGTGGTGTCAATGGAGACAGAGATAATTGCATCATGTTACAATCTGGGGAGATTGCAATCATCACAGCAATTGATAAAAATTTACCGACTCTTGATATTCTTCAGAAGTAATTCCTTTTTCTCAATCCAGTGGATTCACAATTGTTAGGTATTCATTGTAAGGATGTAAAATTAGGTATGTAAACTAAGTTGTAGAAGGCACTGAATGGGAGGCGACAACAGTAGTGATCGACCTCGACACGTCAGTTAAAAGCTGTTAGTTACGCACTGAGCAACCCATTTAACGGCACTGTCAACTTGCTGTAGCGCATCTTAGTGACTTTAGCATAGCATAGCTGACAAGCACTGCTTTTATTGGTGAGTTACACCACTAATTTATACTGTGAACATAGTGAATTAAATGATTGATTATAACTGCATAAATTAGGAATTAATTAAACTGTGATTATCATTTCGTATTTAATGAACAAAAGTAGTCAGGCTTGAAATATGATTGATTTCACGTGTAGGGTTGATGAGCTGGAGTCAGGGTGCTTCATGGGCTTTGGAAAGCGGGACGTAGACAAGGTGGAAACTTGAAGGTCGGGTTTGAACTTTTGAAGATTCCGTCTGGGGTGTTTCCTGATCAAGGAGCCCTGATCTCGTTAGAGACGGTTAAGCCGCTACCCGTAATATGTATCTATGATGCTAAGTGCATATATTTAGTGTTCCTCTGATAAATGTTCTTTCGAATTAATGTTTAACTATTCCATTCCGTTCTGATTGAATAAACGCTTGTTGATTGATAGGAGTGTTTTAAGGAGCATACCTCACACTTGTTAGAAATGAACCCAAGGAAGCTACCAGCTTAATTACATTCCTAAAGAACACTCGAGCAACAAGCAGGATGTTGCAACTCTTTAGCAAATTAATTCAAAAATGATGCTTGTACCCATAAATGATAGCTACATTTCAATCAAGCTATTTCACTCTAAAAGACTGCAAATATTCATAGCTTCTGAGTAATTTCCATGCATTTAAGAATACACGGATTCTTATTTTACAAAGTGTTATTATTTGTATTTAGGATAAAAATTAACAGTATTATTTAACATCCCATTCCAGTAATAGATATTGTTGTCTGCCTAATTTTGCATAACCGAAGAATGTGGGACTTACATGTAACTTCACACAATCACAGATGAAGCCACAGATTTTGCTTTTACTGTGCATCATTTTCCTTGTAATGTGTTTAACACAATAATTGCACATTGCTTGTTTTTTCACTGAAAGTTTTCGTCTATATATAGTGTCTTGATAGCTTTCGAACACTCTGTGAAGAATTTTTTTTCAATCCCAGTTGTGACAACTTCCAGTTTTTTTCAAGGTGCAACGTTAGAACGTCTATTTAATTATCATAATATTCAATTTCCTTGAGTTTGTATAAATTCTGCTGTATGAAAAGATTAATAAAGAAATGCCAGTCCCCATCCACCCAGAAGAAATACCCAGTCCCCATCCACCCATCACTCCTCTGTCTTTTTTATTTGATAGTATATAGTAGCTGATAGTATGCACAAGTAATGAACCATAAGTTCAAGGTTAAGTTTCTCCAGCACAAAAAGTTTTGTTTCTAACAGGAGGAAAATACTTCCCTGGTCATCCGGCTCGGTAGGGGTTCTTAAAAATTTCAACTACTGATTGTGTTAGTATAGACTT